TCATAATTATGAGATATGTCATAATTATGATTAAACAAATACTAAGTCGTTATTATGAGATATAAGTCATAATTATGACTTAATACTAAGTCATTACTTTTAGATATGTCATAACAATTACTTAATAATAAGTCATAATAATGAGATATAAGTCATAGTTATGAGTCATAGTTTTTAGTTTGTATTTTGTCCCTTTAACGCTTGTTAGTATTTCATCATGGAAGGGTGTTAAAAGTTCAATTTTTCTTTTTCGTTTTTCAATTTTTTTTTCATTTTTTCCTCTTCAAGTTTTAACTTTAAAAAAATTCCAATGTTCCAGTGCAGTACAAATAAAACAACCATGAAATACACACAGAGGCAGTCATACTTTTCACTTAAATATTTTAATAAAAAATATGAATAATAGAATAATAATATAAGGATACATAAGTAAACCTGGTTACAAAGTCTGTACACTAATAACAAATGGAAGCCCATATAAGGCAATATCAAATACAATTATAAAAAAAACGACTTGCATAAATTTGGTTCCTGAACTTTTGTTTTCAGTATTTTTTTTTAATTACAAATGATGATAGATACATGGTCAAAATACTCTTTTAAATGTTAGACATGGTATGTGAGGGAAAAGAAATCAATTTCACACCAATGAAATGTTCAGAAAACAGTTAAGCCTTAAATGTTGTCACCTTAAACTAGATTTTATAAGACAACCCATTTAAAAAAAAAACAATACAGGGAAAAGTGTTTTACACATAGATATGACGATAGCTTAAATAGCCACAAAAAGGTCTGAAAGCCGAAAATGCGACTCAAAAGTAGTAGCAAACATTAACATTATGAAGTTTTTTTCAAGCAAGTGACTCACTGGTGGTGTTGCACACGACTACATGAGGATTGTGAATCTTCAACCGATAAAACGGTAAAAGACACCGGATTTCATAGGAGTCCAAATTTCATGTTTAAGACCAGCCAGCCGGTCTTTATCATCGACTTAAAACCGGCCATGTGACGGGCTCTCGACCAACAGGAATGGGTAAACTGTCTTAGGTATTCATGAATACAAGTTTAAGAACAGTTTGAATAAAGACCCTTTCTTTTGGACTTGTGTCGTGGATGTTTGCACAGAAATAGCATTAGAAACAGCAACACATCATGACCATAAGTAAGGAGTCATCCATCAGTCATTACTTGATGGCACAAGACAGGCTGATTGCCTGACCCCGTGAGTGCTCTCTCAAGTGCAGAAAACTAGACAAAAACAGCCCTGGCATTTTGATAATTATCAAATAAAAGGGTAAAAGTCAAACACCATTTGCCTTAATGCACGGGACACATGATTGCATCTGGCTGCTGGGTAGTTTGTCTTGATTAAATACATTTCACTGGCTTCCTGTGACTGTGACATAAATGTACACGAGCGAAGATCAGACACGGGGTGTGGATAAACCAGTTTTGGATTGGACAAAAACCAAAAACAGAAAGGTCTCTGACCAAAAGAAGAAGAAAAAAAAAATGAAAAGTAGGGCGGTGACCTGTGTGCTCCATATATGTGTTGGGAGTGCAGGCATCTACAAACAGAAATCTGTAACTTTTTTTCAAATGCTTGTTTAACTCACCAATTCTCTTTGTGTGGAGTTATCACATGAATGTGAACAGCAGCTGTTTTGAAAGTTGGAAACATAATTGTCCAGAACAGTTGGCAGGAATGGCCTGTTTCAGGGTAATTCATTTGAACATTCAGAAGCCGATGGTAATCACTGAGTCACCCCCAGTCATTAAATGTTACCCTACTACAAGTAAAGATGTTGACCTCTGACCCCATGCTCTTGCACTGCAAATATGTTTCTTTTCTTTTTTTGTCTTTCTCTTGCATGACTTTACAGGTATTACATGTACAACATTTGCAAACATCGAAAACCAAACTACCAGATTATTATGAAATACCCAACTTGACTGTAAGTGAATAATAGAGCTCTGTTCCACTAAAATTCTTGTGTATCTGCAAACAACATTCAACCTCTCCAAATAGTGTAATTGAAGTTGTGAACTCCTAAAAGTCGGCGGTAATTTCTCCTTGTGCTCAGGTAGGCTACATATTACCGTTCACACCCCGAACACATTTTTCATATCAACTTTGTCCACTAATGGAATGTGCTTCAAATTTTCTTTTCTCTACCGTCGGCAAATGGCAAAGGTTACAGCGCATCAAATTTCTAGAGAACACCTTTCACAACGTTCGCACGAAAAATTCTTCTCTTGGATTTATAACCAGTAAGGTGAAACTTATTGTCAGATTGAAATGTTGAAAACTACCCGCGGAAGCCCAAAACCCACAACCTGCAATTGAGGTCGCCTTGCATAATTTGGTATGTTTCAAACGACGGAAACAGATATTTATTTGACCTACACCTCCGTATTGCATACAAGTCAAGAAAATGACTTAAGTCTCGAGTTCATGTTAAAAAAAGGGAAAAAAAAGAGATAACAACGGAATGAGTTTGAACGACTCCCCAAGGGGGTAAGCCGATTCATCCAGGGTAGTATGTATAGGATATGAGTCAGTCTGCTAGGTGTGGGGTGTAGGGAGCATGGATTATCAGTCCAGACCCTGTACATCATGTAATTAGTCAGGCTGCCTTATCCGGGCCTGTCATAATTACTCGGGTTATTAAGGCCCTGAGTCCCCAGTGAGTTTGATGAGGGATGGCAGGCTGTTTGTGTGAGTGATGAGTGTCGGTGTGGTGTGGTGGTTCAGAGGTATACGACAGCAAAGTTTCGAAACAATGCCGGGCTGACTCAGAGGTTTTTGGTCTCGATGTTCACTGCGGTGCATGTGACTACCAAATGAAAACAAAGCTGATGTTTTACGTTTACGTGATTTCACAATCTGGACGCTCAAAACAAAGCATTTTAAGAGATCTGGACTTTTACACATTTTGACTGAATGCGACTTCAGCTTTCCTGAAACTTTCATTTCAATTGGTAGAAACGCCACAAAGGAATCCTTAACCCTACAGAATCCAACAATGTCCACCAGTAGGTGACTTTTGTTGGATTTTGTTGATCTTAGCTGTGAGCAACAACTACTTTTGTTCTTCCCATTGGATTGCATTAGATGGGATTAAGCATGTTACTCACAAAATGCTCGCATCAGGTTTTAGGTGAAATGGCCCCATGGGCTTGTCAAACAGTTACTATTGCCCAAGCAGGTCACAACTTTTGGGCAGGTGACCCCAGTGGCCAGGCAAACTTGGACACAGACACTGTGAGAATCATACACAAAAGTAAAGGGTCATGAATGAATGAACCATTGCTATCAACCTCATACACATTTACCTACTCTGGCCTCACTGGTTCCCATTGGATCCTGGTAAACAACATATAGGGGGGTCAGGTTGGCACATTGGTTACTTTCCTTGCCTTCCACTGCTGTGGCCCGGGTTCGATTCCTGCCCGCACCACATGTGGATTGGGTTTTCAGTCCCTACCTGATTCCGTGGGTTTTCCCCAGAATATTCTTCTGAGGGTTTTCTCCCACCACTAAAACTGTAATGTCTTCTCAAAATGTCTTTTCTCTACAGATTTCATTACCAGAAAGAAATAAAACATTCTTTGTAGAGCCAATGAACAAATTTTAGCTCTTAAAAAACTATCCTATGTAAACTCCAGACCATATTGTTTTCACTTTTTTAAAATTCTTTTCATCTAATATCAAGACCAGTTAGATTCAGAGTAGGTCAGCCTTTAAATGAGCTTCTGGGGTTTCTTTTTGTTTTTGTTCAGATGTCCAAAAATATTTTTTATAAAACTTCTCATTTGAACTCTTCGCCAAGCTTGAAGAATTGAATGTCCCCCCCCCCCATTTTTTTTTCTTGAAATATTTTAACAAATAGTTGAGGAGGCTGTAGCTAGACCAATGTCGACAGTGTCCACCGGACTAGCTTCCCATTACACAATACTATGCAATCAATAGAATCTATCTGAACAGAGTATGCAAAAAAAATAACTTACTTTCCAACAAAGATACACTACTGTCAGATAAATAGGAAAGAAAATTACATTAAAATATAACTATCATTCATACAAATACTGATATGATGCTCTTCTACCTCTTCCGAAGATAGATATCGTACTTCTGGGTATAACAACTGTTTCGGAGAATTACTTATGGATTAATAAAATATTGTCCAATGCATGAAAACTGTTTCCCACTTGTCAAATATCCTGTTTGGTAACGGTAACTAAACATTAGTGCTATACTAACCAACTTAAATTTAAACAAATTTCATCTCTACATACTGTTACAGATCATGAGCCACACAAGAAAATATTCAGAATTGCTGAATTTGGTTCACAAAGACACACTGATTTTTTAAAACCCTAACCTTCCCAAATCCTCCTTGCATACAAGTGGAGGATTTTGAAGGATTGAGGCTGTATAACAAACATCGGAAAGAATGTTGCAACCTGATGCCACTTCAGCGGTTGTGTACAAAGTCTATGGAGAGTCAAGAACATTTTTCTAAAAAGTGGCGTCAGGGTACAACATTTTCCCAAACATTTGTCAGTCGAGTTTGGAGAATGCATTGTGTCAAGGTCTAGACTGTACCTTGTGTTGTTTGTGCTTCGCCACGCATAAATTTAGGCCGACATATTACTTGAAACCATCCGCACATGCTTCTGGATATTATAGCACTGCTTTAACGTATCAACAGTGATTGTTGGAGGATTTTGAAGGATTGAGGCAGTGGTCACCCCTCCGATGAACAAATCCAAGAAATAACTGAGGATTTCAAGGATTGAATAGCAAAAAAAAGCCTAGGGGGTAAGGGTTTAGCTTTTTTTGATAACTGAAACAATTTGAAAGCTAGTGTCTCAGATGTAGTGTGACTCAGGAAGACACTTGTAAGACCTTGTTGGTTTTGTAAGCATTACAAAAGTATTGGTCTAACATTTTTTTTATATAGAAAGGCAAGATTAAATACTTGGTTTTTTTTAAAACCCAATAAGTTAGCACCATTTAATTCAATGGTTGTTTTCTTTTATATACAAGACAACAAATACTAGTGAAATCCACAGACTTTGGTTACTTTTTTTGGTCAGAGTTATAAAAAACTGGCAGGTCTGATGATGCTTTCGAATAAAAAAAAAACCAACCCCAAAACAGGACTATCACAAGATTCATATTCTGAACATTTACAAAGCCAAAGGCATTAATTTTTTTTTTTTACATTTTACAAAACATGGTTGAAGAGGTAAAATGTGGCCAAGACAATAGTCTCTGAGGTCCAAAAGAAGAAAAAAAACCTGCCAACTTTTAGTTGGGATACTTTCAACTACCAACCAGCTTCCACTTTTACAAAGAATTTAACTTACTTTAGGCTTGCAAATAACTTAACAAGAGGTTATATCTAATAATGATTAATTTAGGGGCAGTTTTACAGTGGATGGACTTGGTTTCTGAGTGTGTCCAATTGGAGGTACTCTACTTCAATTTTCCAGAAGTTGGTATGGTATTGTGACCATATCAATCCGGACTTCTGACAAAAGAATATAGGGGGCTGACGCCATGGGACTAAAACTTTCAGTCTTTCTGTCTTACTTTACAGAAAGACCACTGATAAGCGACTGCATTATTTCTGAAGCAGAACTGCAAGCAATGCCATGCCACAAGTAAAGTTACATTGGACCTGAGCAAGTTTTAACAAATTTGCTTCAAATCTTTTGTTAACTGGTAGGGCTCCCAGAGTTAATAGTAAACAAAAAGTAAACCTACACGTAACTTCTTAGCTACCCTCTGGCTTAACGATCTCGACAAAATTATAATGTGGTATGCATCCCAATCAAGGAATTTGAGTTTACAGGCGTGTGTGTTGTGAAAATTTATCTGCTTACACAGGAAACGTGCTTAGCGGGTTGTCTTGAGATCGATGACATCGACCCCTGCAGCGTGCACTTACCCACCCTCCTGTCAGTTAACAACTCGTCTGCCCCCCTCTCCCCGTCTTACATGACACACAGCACATCACAGCTGCCGTTGCACCGAACTCCAATTCCCTGCAGACAATGCATCGAGGAGCTCGTAATTAACAAAGACACGAGGAACAAAAAAAGCGCTGACACATCATGTCAGGAACCCATGTAACTTGGCAGCGATCATTAACTCCAGAGTGGTTGTAGGGGGGGGGAGGGCTGCGCTCAAATTGGGCAGTTCACTTATCAGCCTTAACTTTCCGAACGATTCCCTCGAGTTAGTTACTCGCCGGTGTGAAACAACTCAATTTGCGAGAGTCATGCCAAAAAGGGTCAATGTCTCTGTAGCACCACTCCCATCCATGGGGAGAACCAAGTTTGAAAGTTCACGCCCTCCTGGGAGCCAATCGAGAGCGACCAAAGGGAGCCACGCTAGCAGATAAGAATGGCCAACATTCAATCTCTCACGGAGATAACCATCTTCAGCACCACAGCGAGCGGGCTTACATTAACCGGACCAAATTAGAAACATCTTCCTCCGATGTGGTGTTGCTTAAAGTCTGCTTCCCAGTCACCGCAGATGGAATCTCCCAGGAATCTTCGCCCTTCATCATGTTTTATCCGGGTCGGTCCAGTTCAACAAACCTCATGATGACTTGATGCTGCCGTGCTACACTCTGGCAAAACTAAGTCTACAGTATATGGTCTTCCTGGTAGTTGGGCTTGTCACACCTGTTAAACCATAAAAATTGGATAAAAGAAAGAAACGGAGAAAAATATAAATTCAAAAACAATCGAAAAGGATTATGTATTGAAGAGGCAGTGTTGAAAAATTAGTTTAATGTTAAAACTGTCTCAAATTTTTCCGATCTCAATTCAACAGGAATACAAGCACCAGCAGAACAGAGTGATTCTTAAAACCACTGAAAACAAAAATCTATTTCCACGTCAACTTATCGAACAAAAATGTGTCCAAACAATTATAAATATTTGTGCAGACAATGGAAGAATGAGGATGATAAGATGTCAATTGCTGTCAACAAGATATGTGACAAATGTCACTAAGACAATGGCAATGACAGAATGACTTTGACAGTCACGAGGTGACGGTGACAACCCATTCAACACCCTTGACAAGGAACCGTGTCATATTTTCCAAAAATTCAACAATGCATACTATGGACTCCGTGTACAACTAACCCCTCAATGGTTAAAAAGATAGGTGACAAATGTCACTAAGACAATGGCAATGACAGGATGACTTTGACAGTGACAACCCATTAAACACCCTTGATATTTTCCAAAAATCCAACAATGCATAGTATGGACTCCGTAGTGTACAACTATCCCCTCATTGGTTAAAAAGATAGGTGACAAATGTCACTAAGACAATGGCAATGACAGGATGACGTTGACAGTGACAACCCATTAAACACCCTTGACAAGGAACCGTGTCATATTTTCCAAAAATCCAACAATGCACAGTATGGACTCCGTGTACAACTATCCCCTCAATGGTTAAAAAGAAAATGTTGGGGGAGACCACTCGGAGGATCTATTGAACGGATTTCTGAAGGCGCTTGACACTCGAACAATGTTGTTACGGATTCGCGCATATTCAGAATAGAATGAATCGTGAGTGGTACGCGCAGTGCGCACGCAAACCAGAACGTGTACGCAATGCATCCCTCCACTACAGCTCTGGAAAGTGGCCAAAAAGCGCCCTCTCTTAATCGTGCACAAAGTCAAAGATCCAATACCGCATTCTTAATGCATCAGCGTCCGGGGCATGTTCTCATTCACCCGATTGCAGCTACGCGATATCATGCACTGAACCGTCAAAGAAATTTTGAAAAATGCGTCTTAAGACACATCTTTGGAAATGACCTTCTTTAATTGTTTTCTTCAAAATGACATCATGCCAGAAAAAAATATTTCACAGGGAGGTTAGTGTCATTACTATCTTTAAACCAAGTATGTTTTTCAACAATAATTTTGTCAATTACTTTTTGGATAGCTGCAAATGATGGACTCTACCTTTAAGACCTGTGCAACACCCTCAACTGACACCCATAGCATTTTGTTTAACAATTTAGTGACAAAGTGTCAAACTGAATTGAAAGCAGCAGACAAATAGCATATGCCCTTGAAAAAAAAACAATGAAATAAACAAGCGGCAATACCACCCCTAACAAAACTGGATGAACTGATCAACCAATCATATCAGTGATGTCGTTTGCAACTTGCATCAAACCATGTGATGAATATGCATGCACGAAGTTAAAGGAGAGATTGAAGTCTCTCGATATTAACAACTTCAGTGACATATGGTGATGACGGTGATGATGATGATGATGATGATGATGAAGAAGCATTAACCTTAAGGACCAACCTGAGTTATACTACGAGCTACTGTATTCCTAGTCTCGTCCACCCCCCTGCTGTCCAGACACTCACATTGCACCTCCCGTTGCTCTGTACCTCCTGACTGCTCCTCCATACCTCCTGATGGTTCCACTGTACCTCCTGACGGTTCCTCAGTGCCTCCCGACGGTTCCGCCATGGCTCCCAACGGCTCCTCCATGCCTCCTGACGGTTCCGCCATGGCTCCCAACGGCTCCTCCGTGCCTCCCGATGGCTCCTCCGTGCCTCCCGACTGCTCCTCCGTGCTGCCCGATGTCTCCTCTGGGTTGAAGACACTCCCGCTGTCCGAACTTTGCCTCGAGAACGCATCCTCAAGGTTCGAGATTGGTGACTGAGGCATCGTATTGCCGGAGCGTTCTTCTAACGGCAGCTCGCTGCTGATTGGACGCCTGTGTGGAGCTGCTGCTGCTGTTGCCCCCGCCGTTGCTGTGATGGAACGGCGCATCCGGGTGGGGCTGACCGAGAGATTAGTGCTGCTCAGGGAGAGGTTGGAGAAGGTGTAAGGGTTGAGGAGCTGACTAGGACTGAAGGAGGTGATGGCGATGGAGTTCCTCATCCGAGGTGCTGCAAACAGAGACAAACAGAATCAAGAATGAATAGAAGATGAGCGACTTATACACAAGTTCTGTTTCACTGCAAATCAGCCTCAGCCTTTTTCTTCATCTCTTCAAGATTGACTCCCTGGTTACCTCCAGTGTTTTTATACCTTAAAACTTCCAAAAATAGATATGTGCTTGGCTGGTTTTAAACAAGGGGCATGGTAGCCGATAATGGCCCGAGCCAAGGGCAAGGGCCATTATCTGTGGACGGGCCACTAGCCCGTTTTAAACGTACTTTCTTAAAACCGGCCAATTACATATGTATTCCCATTCATAAAGTCAGAACATGTCAAAAATCCACAAATTTCCAACAATTCTGTTCAACAATATACTTCAAGTTTTGTAAAACACCCCTCTGGCCAATATCTATGGTATATCCCTCACGTGCGTTGTGTTTAAAATCTCCTTATATGGAACGCAGGAATTGTGTTTAAAACCAGCCGGTGTTTTATCAGTGGTTTAAAACCACCCATGTGACGGGCTCTTGACCAATAGGAATGGGTAAACTGTCTCAGGTATTTGAAGGACATGAAGGACAAACAGGTCTTACCTCTGTGTCTCATGTTGATGGCCCGGTCGTTGATTCTATCCTCGTTGGGCTTGATGTCCAGGCAGGGTTTACTGCCCACGCCCATGGATGACAGCTGGGCCTGCCTTGCTTCTGTGGTAGAAGAAAACCAGGGTTGATATTGATGTTAAATTGAGTAGCGCACCAACAGGCCAACTTTGTGGAGCTGGGGGGAGGGGGGTTGTTACAAGCCAAATAGATCAATCCGTTAAACCCTGCCCCCTAATATCTTGACCAATCACAGTTACAATAAATGTCCGACAGTGCGGACAAAAGTCTTGACATGTGTGTGTAAGCGCGCATGACGCGTGCTGCTGAAAACGTACAGTGTGGATTGAAGAGGCGTATGTGTTGTCGCCAACGTGCCCAGTGGGCGGGGCTTAAACATTTCGCATCGGATGACGTGTTGACATGATCTGGCTGTTTTTATACACAGGCACGGCCGACGGGTTAAAACGTCAAGCGTGCCTCGACTCGCCTCCGGATGACGTCTAAACACGCTAATCCCCCATTTGTTTTGTACACACACGCAAAGTCCAAGAAGTCTGTGGAGGCGGACGGTGTGTTGAACTTGAACAAGGCCGCTGTGCACGGCCTGTTGTGGTACAATTTACGCTCCGCGGGCATACCCTGGAGTGTTGAAAAATGTGAGGTTGCGGTAAGAAATATTGTACAAATACTGTTGAAATGACTCTTGTGAATCGGTATTTGTGGCGTTTGGCAGTACATCAGAAGTTGGCTGCTATATTTTGCCTTTTTCGAAAATCGAAATTTTGGGCAGAAATATTGTCGGCGCGAACTGGTTATTGATTCGGTCTATTGGCATGCAAAGTATATGGCTTGTTACTCATTCTCAGCTGATTCACTCTTAGCAAATTTATTTGCTTACCACTATTTTCTTGCTTAGCTGCTCCATCAGCCATGCATAGAAGACTTGGAGTGAAGAAGGACTAATGAATACTCCATTTTAATTATTATAAAGTCGATCCCACATCACGGGATATAAGGACATACTGGCCATTCTTGACTTAATAAGGGTTTTCGAAACGTCGGCCGTGTCTTGTACTTGGCTTCCGATTTCAAACCCTTGACTTTAAGAATTCTACATCAATAACGGACCAGGATCTGCTTTCAGAATATCTAATCCAATAGTAGGAAGCCAAAGTTTCAAGTATCTCCACGTTACTTTTAAATGTTGCTGAAGTGAGATATTAATCCTTCCTCTCTGGCTGGTAATTTGAACAAGGCCAGCCCAGCAGTCAAATAAATCAGGTGACTGTTTTTAACAGTTCAGTGCTCCCTGCCTCCATAACGCAGGATTGACTGGCTGTGATTGTTATGCAACCTGATAGAGCTATGCTTTGACTGTAGGAGATTGATAAGCCAGCTGTGCCTAGCCAAGATTTCAAAAAACCTCCAATACCAGAGAGATTGAGACAGTGTTGGAATCAGCCACCCACCTTTGCTCCTGAAGGCCTGCCTCCAGAGCAGCTTACTGATGTCCTGGGTCCAGGCTTGCTTGATGCTGGTGGAGCGTGCATGGAGAGTATAAGCCTTGTCGTTGGTCTTACGCCGGCGGAACCAAATCTCTAGTTTCAGGCCGCTCTCGCCGATGTTCTCAGTCATGCCTATATCTGTCATCTGATCATTCCACAAAAAGTTAGAAAATGAGATACTGCTTTCAATGGAATATAACTAAAGACAGAAGCAAGAAACACTTAACACAAGACGTGTTAATTGTTCTTAATTTGAATGATTAAACAATACATATTACTATGAAATGATTTTGTTAATAACTATAACAATATAAGGAGTAAGGTTTGCACAGTGGTTCTTTCCTCGCCTTCCACCGCTGTGACCCGGGTTCGATTCCTGCCCTGGTCCACATGTGGATTGGGTTTTCAGGCCCTACCTGATTCCGTGGGTTTTCCCCAGAATATTATTTCTGGGGTTTTCTTCCCACCTCTAAAACTGTAATTGTTTCTCATTGTCTTCTCTCTACAGGTTTCTTCAGGCTTGCGAGCTGCAGTGCCTAGGGCACTTTTGAGGAATCCTTGGTTTCATTACCAGACATAAACAACAAGCCCCACAGTGCTCGAGATGTCAAAAAAAATCTAAAAATGCAACAAAGGATTTGTAACCTCAAAAATTGAGTAAAGGTGTATCATACCTTAAGGCTGAACTTGTAGTGATACATGTCGTGCCCTCTAGCCGTGCGTCGTGTCTTGCTGAACAGAATCATGTCTTCAAAGAGGAAGACGTGCCGCACGCACTTACGATGGCCACGATACACCAAGAATTCACCCTGATTGGAAGAAAATGGACGAGACATTCACACACCCAAATCAGCTTTGAGAACATTTCTATGTAAAACTAACATTTTGAATTTTTTTAATTGACTGATTCCTTCTGTTAAGGAAAAATATTTGGCTAAAGTTTCAAAGAAGCTTTTGCCACCCCCCACCCTGAAAAAAAAATTGGGGGAAAAAGAAGAAAAAAGATTCTTACCTGTCTCAGTAATTCTCCCTGCTCATGGAGATCCACCTGAAATCAACAACAAATAAATGAACATAATGAAAACAAATGTAAACATCAAATATAACTAGCTACCCGGTAAATAAATAAAGTTCAATGTTGCAACACAAATCAGGATTGAGGAAAGTTATTTCTGAAAGCTAAGGATTTTAATTCTAAGTTACAAATATCCTCTTCGATCCCTTGTCTGTACAGGTTTGCAAACTACAGATACAGTTTAGGGTTATCACTGCAAGCTTGTACCAAAATTAAATTACTGGAAATATGAACAACCGAAGAAACGGTAGTAATGATAATAATAAACAGTGTTTAAACGGTACCAATGCGCTGTACAAGAGTAATTATTACCCCTGCTCACTGGGCCAATGAAACATTCCTAAGACAATCTCAGCTCCCTAGGGAGTATACAGCTCAATGCTGCCATTTCGGCGCAAAGCAGCTAAAATCAACCACAATATACCACCTCTGCCCTCACAGGTACCCATCTACTCCTGGGTGGGGAGAAGCAATGAGTGACAAAGTGCCTTGCCCAAGGGCACACGCACCACAACCCCACGCTGGACTTGAACCCACAACCTGCAGAATTACCCGCAGACCACGAATTCAATGTTCCAGAGTACAAGTCCACGGCACTCCACACGTGGTAGACTCTTCAGTTGTTTTGACGCGTCTATCCTTCTTAAAGTCAATATTTCAAACCCCTTTTTTTGTAAAGTGCTCTTAAAGGACCTAGTTATCGTAAACAAATTTTTAAGCACTTCACTTCTAAAGGACTGCTAGAGCAATTTGACAAGTGGGTCAATTTGCCACATACACAGATCTCTATTGGATTGGGCCTGGCCTGGCCTGGTTGATTGGATTATCCCTACCCAAGAACAATCATGAGGGTTTCCTCCAAATAGCTCTGGAGCAGCACAGCTCCGCTAATCCCATCAACAAACAGGATTAGCTGGGGATTATGACATGGCTGGATTAATTGAGCGCTGGCAATAGGGTTACTGGGCTTGATATGTCTTTTTACTTTTTCGTATTACCTCACTCGTTTTATTTATTTATTTAATTTTTTTCTTGTCGAATTTTGCGTGGGCTGATGCACCTTTTTTGTTGCGGTAGATTTCTAATCTACTTATTGATTTTTTTTTTTAATATAGAGATGTGTAATTAATCACGTGTGGATAGGCAGAAATGACTTCAGGTTTATAATCAGTGACTTGTTTGATAAACAATTGATGTTTTCTTTAGAGTCAGGGGTAACCTTTTGTCTTGTTGATGCTTATTCAACAAAGTTGTGACTTTTTATAAAAAAAATAGCAACGTTAAATTCACTCTTCTTCTGATAAAACAATAAAAGCAGAACTAAAGAAAGTACGACACTTGAAACTGAAGTCCTGCAACATAATTCTTCATTATAAAAAAAAAATTACTCACAACGACTTAGACAGGCATGCAACTGGGAAGTAAGAAAACACAAGGAAATTCCAAACCACATTAGGAAATTCCAAACCACACAAGACTTTGTACAGTATTTTTCAATTGGTAATGGTATTCATGAGAAGTAAAACCGATGATTTCAGCGGATCCAAGAAAAAGTGGCATACCTGAGTTATGACTGGCTCAAACCTGCCAAATGATGGCACTATTTCCTTTTTTTTTTCTCTCTTTTTGTTGTTGGTATATAACTTTTTGGAATGCTGAGAAAAAATGGACTGACATAGGCCAACACATATGCAAAGACCAAAAAAACATTGACAATTTTCTAATCCATTTTCTACTAATCAATTCCCCCCCCCATATTAAATTGAGTATGAATGGTGTACGGTTGTCATGGTATTCAGTTGCCATGGTACTCACATCACAATCTTTGATTGAATCCATTGCGAGGAGGTCGTTGCCATGCCGCATCTGAAACTGCACCATCTCCTCAGCAGTCTGGCAAAAGAAAAAATATGGGAGGAAAATTCAAAGTATGAAATTTAAAATATTCAAAGTATCCTTTAACTTTAGGATTGAAGGTTTTACTCAGGACAAAAGGGAAGGCAAACTCAAAGGTGTCACGTCACAGCGAGAGTCTACTCTGTGACTTTACCAAAGTGTGACATATTCAACTCGTGTGAATTTCACTGCGGATGTCTTGTGTCTTCAAATTCGTTTTGCAGTCACATTCTCCAAGTATGAATCTTCAATATAGCCTATGGAACATCCCCCTGCACAGCAAGGGTCTATGATGTGAGAGCAGATTCAGCGATTAATTATGCAAAACAAGACTGCGTCTTGACCTCAAGATTCTGACCATTCAGTGGGTGCCTTCTATCAGGTTTTCCGTGACCCGTTGTTGTATTACAAAAACATGGTAGCCAAATTGACCAATCAACAGCTAAGTCCACATTTCTGATCGAAAAGACAGTTTTAGAAGTCTACTCCGATTGGCTGGCGCACGTCGCATAAATTTGCATTGCTCACATATATCAGACGTTGGTTACGGAGATGGCTACGTTGGTTACGGAGATGGCTCCGTTGGACAACGCGTGATACTAAAGACTACCTTTCAATAATGGGTGAACTGAAAAATTAGTTTTTCTCTGAGGCATCGCATTCCTGGTGAGATAGATCATTTCGCTTGAGTTGTTTTACTCAAGGGGTGTTTTTGAGTGATTAATTTCCCCAAATTAGAATAGGTTTTTCTTGTATGCATTTTTTGAGACTTACTTTGAGTGAGGTCAGCTCCTGGTCTGAGGGTCGGCATTCCCTGATGAGGTCACGGAGCAGCAGAGCGTACTTGCCCAGTCTCTGGACAGGCTTCAGGAGGTAGCTGGCTAAATCCATACGGTCTCGGATCTTACGCTGCTTAGTCTAAGCAGAAAAATAAAAGACAAATCAGGATTACTTGAAGGAAAAAAACAATCACTCAAAAAAACCCAAACATACAGTGAAATCTCGATAAGTCAAAACCTGCTAACTCGAAAACCCTTCTACCTCAAAGTAAGAACTTGTTCCCGTCTATTGTTGTTGAATAGAAAATCCATTGGATAACTCAAACTTCTGCTAACTCAAAATTTGAGACCATTTCCCCTTAGGTTTGACTTATTGAGATTTCACTGTACTTAAGATTAACCCCTACCTCCAGGGTGTGTGAAAAATCTTATTAAAATTGCAGGATTTAGGACTGTTAAATATGACATGATGTGATGGGAGAAAGAAAGTAATTAAATCTTTACATAATAAGATCTAAAGAGTATTTATTAGCACTGGTAATTAATTGTGAACATAGATTTCCAAGTTTTAAAGACAGCATAGTCATTACAAGTCAGTCGCAATTCATACAGAAGCCATCCAGTCTTGCATCGAGAGAAAAAGCTATTGACATTAATTGTGAAACCATTCCCTCTTAACTTTTGACAAGTTAGTAATTTGACTTGTGCTTCCCTCAAATTACAACAATGAAATTTGATTTTTTTTTTATAACTATCCCAATTATGCCAATTATTAATGTCAAAACCTTTAACAAGTGCAATTGGAGCTTGAATTTAAGAATAAAAACAATTATTGTCTCGGACATTAGCGGAAAGGAGCATACTGTTTTTGCTGTTCAATTTACGTTCTCTTACCCTGAAGAATGCGCCGTAGTCGGCCAACAAACTGTCAGATCGGGGCTTGTTCTTATTGTACAGAGCATACAATCCAAAACCTTTTTTCTGTGTGGAAAGAACATCAAAACATAATTTAATGAAATGAACTATGGAGGTTTTACAGATACAATGAGATGACAAGGTGTAAAGTTGATCTTGATAAATGCTGAACACGATGATCATTATGATAAAGTCAGTTCCATAATGGCGGGAGATTCGTATTCGAGTACCAACCTCATATTTAAAGCAGACATCTTAAAGGTACTTTACAATTTTTCCAAACATCAAAACAAAAAAGACTACCAAATCATTATGTGAATAATATCAAGCATTGTGTGAAATCATGGCACCTGGTGTGCTGTCATATTCGAGAAAAGTGGAATTTTAGTATCAATTTCCAATGATGGTCGGCTGACCATTGTTGGAAAAAAACCTCACTTTTTTCCAATACCGCCCCGAATTTACCAAATTTAGTTGGTCCACATTTTGTTCACAATCGGTTACACATCCGTAAATGGGTACAAGCCAGCCAGTCTGGTTCCCTGACCTGACAATTCCCGGACGTGTATAAATTGCTCCATTTCGTCTGAAGTAGGGTCAGGGAACCAGACTACAAGAACAGCTATAAAATACTAACCCCGAATCCATCCATTTCTGAAAATTACAGCAAAAGCGAATGTTGTATATTACCTTTAACTAAAAAATTAAGGGGAACAACCCTTGAACAGGAAGGCCTATTCTAAAACAGCTGTCGTATGACCCTGATACTACGTTTATTTGATGCACATTACAGTGCAAATAACCTCAACATTAAGAAAGTATTTTAAAGAACGCTCGTTTTCGAAACATACTTCATGACATCCTCACAAACAACCTAAAATGATGTACAAGACTTTAATTTACCACCCGACTTTAAAAAACTAATCTCACAATTTGGAACATATGAGCTTCAAAATAAGGGGGGAAAATTAGAAGAACGGGAGAGAAAAAAAAAACTAGAGATATGGAATCTGTCATCACGGCGTGACCATAGGGGTTGTTTCCATAAGCCTTCCTCTGTGATTCTAATCAGGGAAAACCACCTGTATAAAAAGGGGTCTCGGTGGACAAACCAGACTCGCCTGGGTAATGGGCCCCCTCCGAGTGCTGCGGGGGTTGTTTTCTTAACATTTTAACGTGAAGTCGGGACTCTGTCTTCTACCAGACACAAATCATGTTTTTTTTATTTTAACTCTCTCTCTTTCTCTCGCTCTTTGGTTTAAACCAGAAATGAATTAATTTTAATAGGGTTAAGATCTGTTATGTGATTGCCGACTTCCTGTGCTGTGGCCAAGGTGCATGCTGTGCCCTGATTTCTTCTTTTCTTTTCTTTTTTTATTCGGAGCAAATATGGAAATTGAGATTTCCTTGTTCTTGCAGGCTGATCTTTCAAGGAGGATACGTCTCAAGTCTCAAGAAAGGAAAAAACTTCGAAAAAAAGGAAAAAAAGACAAGTCTTCTCGATGCTTTAAAGAGGGAACATGAGTCTCAAGAAAGGAAAATACAAAAAAAAAAGGAGAAAAAGACAAGTCTTCCAATGTTTTAAGGAGGAAACATGAGTCTCAAGAAAGGAAAAAAATTCAAAAAAAAAAGGAGAAAAAGACAAGTCTTCTCATTGTTTTGAGGTGGTTGTGTGAAATCTTGGGACGCACATCAGGCGTTTCTATCAAAAGAATCTAAGAGTGCATTGAAGGTTTGTGTCGATTTATGGATTAAAACACTACCATCCAAAAAATTTGATTGTACGATTGTACAATCGCAAGGTTGCATCTCTCTCTTTTGTTGCTTTTACCTTAAGAATTGCAGTTGGACTCGGGGGTATTTAACAGATAAGGACCAAGCCGATCAAGCTTTGAAAGAAGGCCAATGTTATGATACACAAACCTAAATCCACGTATATGTTGCCTATATCGGTTTACTATCAAATCACAACGCGACCCTCAAAAGCAGAAACAAAAACGTCTTATCCTTAAATCACTGATTTGGCCAGTGGCCGAGTTCCAAAAGGTATGCTTAAAAAAAGGGGGGAAATTTCAGGTAGAGCAGTGGCGTCGACTCACGTGTTGTAAGAAGCAATGGCAGACCTGTAGCGGGTCGTTCTGACAGTGGCTGAGCGCCTTCAGGAAATGTCGATCATGAAACTCGTAGATCTTCTCCAGATTTCCGAAGACGGCGCTGCGCTGCCCTCGCAGGCCCTGGGGGATGTCGTCCCGGTCCATTTCAGGAAAATAATTCTGGAAAGAAGAAAAAGAGAGAGTCACCAAAAAAAAAAAACACCAAAAAACTTGGTTGGGTGATTGAAGGATGAAATGATTTGTAGTGATTGATTGATGGATGAACTGGAAGTATGAATTGGAAGTTATGGACATACTTTTACAATTGCGACATGTTCTGTCAAAACCAGATGTTTCTGGGCAACGCTTGAAATATAAAGACGTAACCCAAAACAATGTCAGGTCGATTTTGTGATCCTTAATTTATCTAAAACATACATGTACTGTAAAAGTTTCAGACCATTATTTTGCCTCTAGCAGTCATTTTTAATGCTTGCTGGAGGTGTATCTGTTCAAGAAACGCATCACACAAAACTTTCACAGGCGATTTTTCTGTTATTAACCTTAGTTGCTTCAAAATGAACTTCAAATTTTAAATTCATTTTTTATTATAATAAAGGGGGAAATCTTTATTTTAACAATATGTCAACCCCCCCCCCCAAAAAAAATTGACCAACTGCGCAGGAGAGTGTGTTTTTAACGGAACACATAACAATTTAGGATATCCTGTGTGTGAACTCAAGTGGAAGTCCCTCCATTCCTATCTCAACTCCAGAGGGCAGCAGTCATCATGTAAGAGAATGAAGTGAATGTGTGTTGGTAAAACCAATGTATTTACTTATATTTAATCATCATTTTATAGCATTCACTTAATATCCAGTGCAATGACAGCTTCCTAAACAAGATTTGTCATATGTACAAAAGTTGAAAAGTTTGAAGTACCCTTGATGAAAACTGGTTGAGTGTATTGTGCTATAGACCTCACTAGCTTTTTATCCAACTCCCCGCCCGAGTGGAGTGCCCTGGCCTCGTGGTCTGGGGCACTGAATTCATGGTCTGCGGGTAAATTCTGCAGGTTGTGGGTTCGAGTCCAGCCTGGGGTTATGGTGCGTATGCCCTTTGGCAAGGCACTTTGTCACGCATTGCTTTTCCCCACCCAGGAGTAAATGGGTACCTGTGAGGGCAGAGATGGTTTTTGTGGTTGATTGTAGCTGCTTTGTGCCAAAATGGCAGCATGGAGCTGTATACTCCCCAAGGAGCTGAGATGGTATTTGGAACGTTTCATTGGCCCAATGAGCAGGGTAATAATGATGTAGCACCTTGAACAAAAATACTGGTGGATATGTGCGCTATATAAGTACACATTATTATTGTTGTTGCAGTCGAAGTCTTTGTGATGAATCACTAGTCATTACAAGTCAATCACAAGTCAATCAAAAGCCAATTACAAGTAATCCTTAGTCAAGTTCACAAGCACTCCAAATGGACTTGTTCATCCCGATCACTTGTGACTGGACTTGTGAATTGACTTGCGATCAGTCTTGTGATGTCCTTATGATCCATCATAAGTTCATCACAAGTCACTGCCTCCCATCCTTTCTGACCTCTATGATAGGAACTGACTTGTGATTACTTATGATTTGTGATAGCTTATGACTGTACTTGTGAAGTCCTTATGATCCATCACAAGTACATCACAAGTCACTGCCTCCCATCCTTCTCACCTCTATGATAGGAACTGACTTGTGATTGCTTATGATTTGTGATTACTTGCGACTGCACTTATGATGCACTTGTGATCCATCACAAGAACATCACAAGTCACTCCCGTCCATCCTTCTCACCTCAATGATGTACTTGAGAGCCAGTACATAATCCTGCTCTGTCTGTATCATCTCGTCCAGTATCAGCACCATCCGTCGATAGTTAGGATGGTCCTTGTTGCCCGACGGCCCAGCATTGGACACCTCCTCAAGCTTGAGCGGGGTACCGGGCGCCTGGGAGACAGACTTCCTGATGTGGCGATTGGCATCCTTCGGCGACCAGTGGGTTTCCGTCTGTGGTGACATAAAAAAAAACGCATGATTTTCTAAAATGTTAATGAATGTTTTGTTAATGAATGTTTTCAAACACATTATATATTGATGACGCTCACTTGAAGACGCTAGGGCTTTTATGCACATTCAGTTTAAAATATGTCATGCGTACGTTGGGCTCTCGTGCATTGGGCTCTGTTCATGTATGGAGCCCACATGATTCTAATCAAAGGGTTCACGTGCAGTGAGCTACCAACTTGAAACCTTGACTGGTGCAGGAGGCTTCGATCTAATCATCCTCAATGTTTTGAGAAAACTGCAAGCTTGCATGATTCTGAGACAACATACACACTACAAGTTAATACAATAGGCCATATTTCTCAGCGAATGACAGCAATGCAATGAAGCCATTTTGGGGTACAAACATATGTGAAACCAAGATTATTTATGCAAGTTTACATGTTTGTTATAATTAAAAAATGTCATGTTTACAATTTAAAAAAAAAATTTTTACATTGAAGTAAAAGCTGCTAAATCGTTTCAATTAACATTATATTTCTACTGTTTGTATCCAGAAAATGGCTTCTTTTCAGCATCCTCATTTGTTCAAAAATATGGCCTGCGTACATACCGCTTCAGGAGTTTCCTCATCGGAGAGTTGAAACTCATCTTCCATGTTGGCCTTCCGACACACCCTGTCCTGTTTCTCTCCAGAAAGATCCTCATCATCTTCAGTCTTTCTAGACAGCATCACCGAGTAGCTTCTCTTTGGTTCCATGACGGAGTGAGCCGCCGACTCGGAGGGTCGTCTCGCAGCGTTTGTTTCCGCCTCCTCGTAACCCTCGTCTAGTTTCTCCAGGCTTCTCGTGTCCACAATCTCACTGATGGGTTTAATGAGGGCAGCCATCTTGCGTTGCCTGACAGAGAAGTCGCTGGGCGAGTCCGCAGATGTCGGCGACATCGGCACAGCTCCTCGTTCAAGGATCTTCTCCCCGACCGATATCCCAGAGTCCACCGAGCCGTTACTGTGGAGGGAGTCTCTGTGCTGCTTGGGAGGGGCTGAGCGGCTTCCCTTCCGCAGTAGCTCCACCTTGCTGATTGGCCCCTCCGAGTCCTGAGCCCCACTCTGGATGGGCTTCAGTTGATGCCCAAGACTCCCGACCCCTTCACACGTGGCCGAGGAGCTTCTCTCGTAGAGAGTCCTGTCCTGAGCGGACATCCTGCCCCTGTCGACCGATTCCATCCGGAGTTTGAAGCTACCCCGTGGACTGCGCAGCACACTGTGCAGCTTGTCGATCTTCTCCTGGATCATGTCGCCGGTCTCCTGACAGCGGCGCTTGGCAAAGTCGCACTGCTGGATGCACTGCTCTTTGCCCAGCTGCTTGGAGAGCTTGCACATCTCCAGGAAGGTGTCTTGGGTGGTGGGTGGGTTATCTCGCAGGTACTTCTCGAGGGTGCACAGCTGGATGCGGCACTGCTCTCTCGTGTTGCTCTTCTCGTGGCCGAGCACCGCAACAAATTTCATTCCATCAAGCGCCCACTCATATGCCTACAATTGCAAGGGGAAAATAAAAGGAGAAATCTTTGAAAAAGACATCCTGTAAAACTAAAAAAAATAGTTAAGCTCCCTTTGATCTTTTTCTGCAGCGTTTTAACATGATCAAAAAACAAAGTTTCTGTCATCTTGCAGGCTTCGCACATTCAAAAAAACTGAAATAACTTCAGATAATACAGTACTGCTGACAAATGGAATCCAATATGTTGCCATACACCAGTTCAAATACTCAACTATCGTAGGCTAGAACTTCAACTTTGTTGGACAGTTGTCCAGTTTTGAATTTGCCAAGTTTCAACACAAACAATTTAGAAAGCTCTTTATATATGCAAAAGTGCATTGGCATTAAGTATTTTTTTTTTTAAGTTTAAACACAAGATAACAGCAAAGATTAATTGAAAGAGAACATTTTTCGTTCTCTATTCAGATGCCAAAATGGTATCTCGTGCAGACACGAATAAATATCGGGTTTGATTGTAGACATTTGTTAGGGACAAATTTATCAAACGTCTCGTCTGTGTTACTGACGTCATTATGTGTGTGAGTCATGTACTTTTAGGTCATGTGGCGAACATGCATTTAGAAATACACGCAGCGTTTGGGACAATACTGGTTGTTTGGCAACACAGCGGCCCAAAACAGCTGATTCACGGTCTAAGCCCTGCAAAAGAAATATTAATGTTAAGCAGCTTAGATAGTAATATACACATAAACATCAGAAGCTGAGTGTACAGTGCGTGGCCTTGTTGTCCTTCAATTTGTTGTGGAGGGTTCTTGTTCACAAATCAAGGCTGGGAAGACAGTCACACCCTGTGCTGTTTGCCCTGGTGTGTCTTTTGTGTTTGGCAGGGGTGGGTGTGGTTGCGTTGGATTGTCCAGTCAAAATATTAAACACGTGGACCTGGGAAATCAACAGGTTCACATTGAGGTAATCTGTGCTAAGTTTTTGCATGTATCTGTATCATATAGTCGACAAAGCATCCAAGGGAAACATCACACCAACTTAGAGAGAAGACAGTGAGAAGAAATTACAGTTTTAGAGGTGGGAGGAAAAGCCCAGAAGATATATTCTGGGGGAAAACCCACGGAATCAGGTAGGGACTGAAAACCCAATCCACATATTGACACAGGCGGGATTTGAACCCGGGTCACAGCGGTGGAAGGCGAGGAAAGTACTGCTACGCCAACCTGACTCCCCCAGTGTAACATGGAGGTAAATTCAAGTATTGTGTTGGCACCAGTGCCAAAACAATGTGCATCAAAATGCCTCTCACAGGGTTCCAAAAGAAATCTTCAAATGAAATTCAGTGACTTTTCCAGGACAAATTTAGGCCTTTCCAAGACCAATTCCTACGCTGTTTTTGGCATCTCATGAGCCCATTTACAATACACTGGCCAGTCATCACACTGAGGCAAGGGATGCAACTCCCCTTCAGCAATCCAGTTTGACACAAGATCACTGCGCACCACAAAAGCATCACAATGGCAACAAGCCAACAAGCATAGAGCAACAAGTATAGAGCATGCATGCATACTAAATGAGGAAGTATAGTAAACTGGAATGCAACTGGAAGACTGCCACAGCCAAATACTATCCATCATCACATGTGGGTTGTGTAGGATTCCACGACTATTCCACGACCTTTTTTTCTTCTTGATATATCAACTTTCCATGACTCCTTGTAAAATAACAAAATTCCAGGACACACTACAGGCATCCCACTCCAACACGATGCCCAAAAATCAATCAGAATCTACTAACACAAGCACTCCGAATCTTAACACAGCCTACTTAAGGAGCAGCATCTCCAACTCTCTTCAGTCTCCTGACGATGACTAGAGCAGGCTAGTTGAAACGTTGAGACCAAAGACAAATTGTTTTAGAACTTACAGCAGGACTGTTCTTATCAGAACTAAAACTACTTAGCGAAAGTTGATAATAAGCAGGACAAGTTCTTTTTACAACTAAATATCTACTGAGCGACTGTAGTTATTACCACATGGTGTTACCGCAAACCAAAATGATACCGAGACTCCACCATGCAAAGCCTAAAATCTTATATCCATGACTTTTCCTAACTTTCCACAATGGCTTTAAATTCCAGGATTCCCCAGTGTGTTTTTGTAATGACTGGGAACCCTGCAGAGCAGAACCCAAGTTTGGATTTTTCTCTTACCTTTCCCTCTTATAACAATATTTTCCACCAGCATCCGGAGTATTCCAAGCCCAAAAAAGTTCACACAACACACTAGCTCGTCCAAACTTTCGAACTGAAATAATAGAACCGGTGCCGGTCAGTGTTCAAATGGATACCACTCAATTGAACAAACTAGACTGCTTATCGCACACTGTGCACACAAATAATAACCAGCCTTATCTTGTTTCTACTTGCACAGCCAGTTGAAAACCTTGATAAAACCAGAATGATAACGCTTCTATCCAGGTGACTTCCTATATTTTACACCAGTCAGCACGTAAGCCACGAAGTTCACTTTAAATAGCAATTTAGCGTTGGAAATGATTAGCAACTCTTAACTTTGCAAAAAGATAAATCGGTTTTCTGAGGATAGGCAAAGAGCGTCGGAATAATGTAAAACTGTGAAGTATGTTGAGATAAAAAGACTCAAAATAGCACAGAGAGATAAGAGATTTCATTACTTTATCCATTTATCACATATGGCTGTCCTCAGGTACCACACGTAGAGAAACAGAACACACTGTTGCTGATTACAATGAATTGCAAGGTCCAAAATGTAAAACGGTGACAAGTTTCACCAACGAGCAAGGAACATGCTCTATGGTTTCACCAGTGCAGTTTCAATGCAAACTGATGGGAACTCAAGCACGTCATCAGATCAAACAATAAACCTATATTCACAATTAATACTATCTAAAGCTGAAATATAACCAAGTCCAACTTCCAAGATATTTAATTTTTGAAATCAGCCGGAAAGTGTACATCTTTTTCTGTTAATGTAATGCTACCTCAAAAATGGTAAAATGGCTCACCATAGCGGCTTCTGAAGGAACACAATGTTGACAATCACACAAGAAATTGCCACCAACCATTCCAAGAATGCACATTCCACAATTCCAATGCAAATAACGGTGTCGGCTACCTCAGCTCTGAAATACCTCTCAGAGGAGTCATTCCAAAACAACAACTGAACACTGGCAGCAAACTTGACGACACAAGCATCAGACTTTTGTGGCCAACTTTACTCTCAACTCTCCAAATAACTTAACCTCCAAATTTCCTCAACAACTCCAGCTGGACTGTTTATAAAGCAGTGATTGATACCCACTGACCACTAACTTTTTCCCCCAAAAACAATCGGACAGCCAATCAAATGGTACTTTAGATCTTCCCTCCCAGCTACGTTACTGTGTTAATCTGGGATTAACCCACATGCCATGTTTACTGACAAAACGGAAAGAAAACAAAGGAGATCAGTTACTAGGGGTTCTACCAGTTTCATCCGTTAAGCACACTTTGAGATTGAAGTGTGTTGTAGGACAGATGTTCCTTGTGTAAAGACAGATCTTTCTTTACTTTTTTTTTGTTGCTCTGGACGAAAAGTTCTAAAAATGGACAACCAGAGTTCAGTACAAAAGTTGTTGGCCATAAATTGTGGCCATCGATCTTTTTTTTTTTTTTTTTTTTTCAAAATAGGGTCTAGAAAGAACACAGTCAAAAGTTTTTGGGTGTTTTTCAAACAGTGCTCTTTATGACCTGTGAAATGTTGAAATTTGTTTGGAAGGAAGGCGGCCATAAATGCGCACCTGGGTAATTAGAGACCAATCTGGTATTATCACAAAGATTGCTGATCAAATATCCAGCCAAATCATTCAAGCACAGAGGGAGTTGCTACAGTACATGTGATCATCTTGATGCAGTATCTGGACGCACCTAATGGTATCATGGAGGTCCATTCCTACCTCCATGGTGAGACCAATGAACGCTTTGGTACAGTGATTGAGCAAGTATGATACATTCTTGGGCATGAAGCAAAAAATCTCGGACAGTGAACCATGAATGTCTTCCATCTTCCAGGAACGGCCACAAATTAGTCTTATATCAACACAAAGTGTAATAAATCACATCCTGCAACATAAAAGGGTTGTGCTGCAAATTTGCACTGAGATCTAATACCAAATTCCAAGAAAGACAAACAAAGACAGAGAGTAGGACTATCTGCTTAATTGACTACACGTTTGCTTCCCGAGTCTGAATGGAAGCCATCTTGAAGCTTTAGTTTGGTATAAAGTGAAAGGAAAAGTTAACAAAACTGCCCAATTAACAAAAGAGCTTAAGAAACAGAACAGATAATCCCAAATCTAACACCATCAAGGAATAATAAAAGAGCTTACATCAAAAAGTAACTTCAAGAGTTTGGAGAAGTTCCACATGGTTGAGGCATAATAATTACTGTCATTCCCTCCCCATGGCCCATAACAATGACCACTAGCTATGGTCAACTAACAACTTGTTATCGAACCTATTTCCCGATTAATCCCATCATGTGGCAAGTCTGAGCTAAAAATTATCTGACTTCCAAATTGCTCCCCCACCCACCCACAAGCACCCACCCACTGCCCTTGACTGACGGCCAGCCCATGCTCTCTATTATGCCAATGAACAACAAACTGCCACCCACTTCAAACGATGACAAACTCGACTCACCAAAGGAAGTAACTGTTTTTGTGGATTGTGTTTTTGCAACTTTAAACTTCTAATGAATTGCTTTGCACTGCTATGCATCCAATTCCAAAAACAGAACCGGTCAGGGGCGGATAAAGGAGGGGGAGGGGGGTTCAGGCCCGTCATATATGTTATGTTGGATTGTTGTGGACAGGCAGACATATATAGGTAATTATTATTGCTATAACTGTTATTAAAAACAAATCAGTGTCGGTGTGGGGGGGGGGGGGGATTCCAGATCCCCAAACCCCTCCGCTCTGCAGCCGTGCCTGCCAGTGATAACAAAATGAATGCAAGTAGTGTGTTTCATTTTCCCCTTGAAGTGACTTTCCCTGTTCCAAACACTGCCTCATTTCTCCTTGAATCCTGCTTGTCAAAAGTTGACAGGTCCTTCAGATTCTAGCAACATGATACTTCCAATATACCCGCTGCTTAATTCCAAGTACATCACCGATCACCGGGAGACGTCAACCGATTTGAAGAAGACTTTTTTTTCCCCCCAGAGCCAGGGCACCTGTTGGCGAGGAACAACTTGGGTTTGGATTTGTTTGTCGGCGGAACTTGAATCTAAGCGAGATGGTATTGAGAGCTTCCTGAGTCTGGGACTTGTTTATGGACGAGTGTTAAAAGACAGGATGCTATCATGACATCAGTGATAAGGGAAAACAGAAATGTGATGACGTAACCGGACAACCGAGGAGTTGCAAAAAGAAGTGATGGTTTTGACGAGCTGTTGCTTCACTTGATGTTACATTTTGTTCATGACTCAAGGCCCAATTTCCCTTTCATACTAGACTTGTCAGCTTTCTTTCGAAAAAGCACTGAGTATGATTGTTTAACGTCTTGCCACACAAATGATCAGGAAAAAACAAATGGATGTTCACAGGTCAAATTTAACTCTGCACATATGAACCCTTTGTCGTTTTCACAAGGGACAAATTAGGCCCAAAAAAACCCATATTTTTCAAAATTCTTTTTCCGTCCGAAATCCGTTAAGTGAACATCAACAAACGTTTTGGCAAAGTTGTTTTGGTCAAAATCAGTTTAAATCAACGAAATCATGACAATCAATGTAGGGAAACTTTCACATGAATCGTATTTGAGTTTTCACGAAGCGACAAATTCAATCTCTATCACATTGTTCCCAGGGCAAAAACAACGCGCATGCGGAATTTAGGTTTTCACGAAGAGACGAATTGAGTGTGCGCGAAGGGCAAAACATCGTGCGTGTGTGATTTTAAGTTTTCACAAAGAGGCGAATTCGCGCAAAGGGTATGGACAATGGGTATTGGGAATTCGCCAAAACAGGCGTGTGGGATTTTGAGTTTTCACTAACAGACAAACCTCTATGAAGTTAAATTACTCCGCAATTAATTGTTTTATTATCCTGAATTAGCAAATCTTTGAAGTTTAAGATCTCGGCTTACTATCTGTATCAAACATTAGTCAGCATGTGCTCCAAAAATAGGCAAAATCTTTATTTCAAAAGTGATCAACTTAAAAAACGTTTTTCTCAAAACCACTGTTCAACACCCCATGGCCCAATTCGTCCCTTTGTAAAAATGCTGACGACTTTGCTACTTTTAAATTTGTTAACATTCTTCTTTTCCTCTTCTCCATTTTACACTCTTTTGTCCCACTGGCTCTTCACTAATAAACACTTCTTGATTAGCCTTGCCTTCTGACAGAACACTCCCCCGACAGTAAAATTAAAAAAGACTTTCAAAATGCAGCCAATTAAAGGTGTCATCAGATGAGGTTGAAAATTAGAAGTTTCCACTGCCTCCTTGTTTGCCAATTTTTTCCATAATCCCCAGCAAAATTAGCTGAAAATGTCTCTCCATTAGCACTTCAATGTCAAAGGAACCTGTCACTCAGGCCCAATTCGAGAGCTCGAAACATTCGTATTATTTTTTTGTTATTCACTAAGTTATTTCCTCTCAGAGGAAGCCTTGTGGTAAACAGGACAGGACTTATGTAAGGGTCTTTAAAGGACATCTGAGTGATGATATCCGACAAACAAGTGTGTTTCCTACCGCCTTTCACTGAAGGCCGGACGATTCGGGGACACCTGCATAACCCAAAGATCCTCCTCCCAGTTTCAGCCAGTGAGACAAAGCAACTTATCACAATTCTACAGCCACAACATCCATAAAGGGTTTCCGCTGGGGATTTAATTATTTTTGCATTGTTTGTTCAACTTGGAATCTAAACTTATGCACCTGAAATCTGAATTTGTAATGCTAACTCAAAAGATTTTTGGGGGGAAAACGGCCCCATTCCTGAACTTTTTAAACTTTGTAACAAACAACGAAATCTTCAGCTGTGGGTGAAATTTTACCTGACCTGTTTTAGAAATCTCATGATTCTCACTCCTTCTGTAACATATTGTGGAAATGTTATTACAAAATTTCAACACAACCACTGCCTTTTGTTCTGCAATGATATGATGGAAATCAGTGGGTATGCACGGGTCAGAGTGGAGTTGGATTTAGGTAATAACTAGTCTGGTTGAAACATATGAATGTTTCCATTCTTTATTATCATTAGCTTGTTCAGTTGACGAGGTGCTTCTCAGTTCTACGTTGATTCCAAGTTGATTTTCCCATTTTCCTTGCTCTACGATTTTCCTTACTGTGGGATCTAAAACACCTTTGTAAAATTGACTCAAGTAAAGGGTTTGTGACCCGTAATCTCTTCATGGGAAGTCAGGTTGGCGCAGTGATTTGTTCCTTACCTTTCAACCCTCTATCTGCCTGATTCTGTGGGATTCCAAACTGGTGGATGACGGTCACATAAATCATCAGTTTGTTCAACTGACACAAAAATTAGTCGCAAGTAATTCACGAGTTCATTCATGAGTCCATTCACAAGTCCAGTCACTAGAAACAGTGGATGAACAATAACAAGGGATGCCTTTGTCAAAGCTCATTTGAATATAGCTTGTGAGTTGAATTAGGACTGGAGGACTTGTGATGGACTTGCGGGGACTTGTGATGGACTCGGCTACATCCCTGCCTTGCGCTTTATTTGACAAAGAACGCATTTTATATTCAGTTGTTTTTTTTAAGAAAAGGGAGGAGCCCTAATCCCTGTCCTTAAACAAGGTCTCCGAACTCTCCAAAGTGTTGATGGTTAGCAGATCGCTTCAAGCCACTTGTACCCCCAGGGAGAACTCCATCAGGTCACCTTTTCCTTTACACCTCTGTCACTGCTTAATACTAAACATTCGCTCCTGACTTCTACACCACTTTATGAAATTAGGACAAGGGATATTACTGATTAAAAATGTCTCAGCCCAGGTGATCCTTCTCTCACCTCTGGTGTTGATGATTGCAATCTCTCGACCTAAATGAAGCTGATCTTGTGCAAAGTGACTCTCTGAAATTAGGTTACGGCCAATTTTGGGAGCAGTTGATGAGTTTGAATGAAGTCACGGGGAGTTCGCGAACACCTTAGGTGCTGCTGGATTACCCAATGTTGGAGATCTTGAGCCCAGGTAAACTAGGGTGCCACCTTAGGTGCGGCTCGAGATTATCAGCGACTGGTGACGATTTCCTCCGCAATTTGACAAATTATCAGGGAGTTGTAGGTGTGAAATTAACACCTCAGGTAGGAAAGGTGTGCAGTGTGGATTGAGAAGATGGTTTCGGTGCCACCCAGGTGGCCAACGAAATGAGTGCAACACTTTAAGTATTGCAGTGATATGAGTAAAGGCCGTGTCCGAAAGTTGTGGCTGCGGCTGGATATAACACGTGCGCCTATGGAAGCCACTGGCTTGTGGCTACAGCCACTCCCCATAGACACGTGTGTTACTCCCGGCCACAGTGGCACAGCCAAATACTCTGTTATAGAAGTGAATGATTATAAGAAAGTTGTCTTCATCGACTCCAAGTGCCAAAAAGACTGCAGATTCAGTCAGCATAATTTGTTGAGCCAGGGACAGCATGTTGACATCTCAACACACGGCTGGCATGAGTAAAAGGTGGCAACAACAAGAAAGAAGATTTTTTATTTCAAATGAGAGAGTGGAGAAATGATGTACATGGATAACAGAACAGACTTTGGCAAGATGGTGCCAAGATTTGATGAAATCTGAAAATTCTGCACCCGGGGGTAAGATGTTTGGGCAGGAATGTCACAGCCGTCTGGAACAAACCTGGACAAAAATCAGAAGAGCACTTATAATCTTATATACTTGTGACCTTACTTGTATTGTGATGGATTTGTGATTGACTTGTAATTGACTTGTGATTGTCTCGTGATGGACTTGTGATGGATTCGTGACTTGACTTGCGATTGACTTGTGATGGACTTTTGATGGACTTGTGATAGACCTGTGACTGACTTATGATGGACTTATGATTTCGTTTGAGATTAGATTTGTGATTGACTTGTGATTGACTTGTGACTTGACTTGTGACGGACTTGTGACTTGACTTGTGACTGACTTGTAATTGACATGATAACCACTCAAAAAGTACGTATCCTTCATAAAAATCATGAAAACTGTAGAAGGGGAAAAAACCTCCACCAACTGCTCTTGAAAAGCATCTTTCCTTTTACCTTATCCAGCATGGTGTAGAGCCTCCCCGCATCCTCGATATATCTCCTCTTGTCTTCAAGACGGTCTGTAAAGAGTTTGAGCTGGTGTCTCAGCGACCGGGCGATCTCGCGGACTCCGGCTTGCTCTGTCTCGCAGGCCTCAGCCAGGCCCTGGGCATCCTCCAACAGATCCTCACCCCGGCCAATGTGTTTCTGTTGGACAGGCAAAATACATAAATCTCAGAATTTCCGGAGGAGGTTCAACAATGTCCGCCAAAGGCTAAATTTTGTAACATGAAATTTTACAGACATAGACAATTTAGTAAGCTGTAAAAAGGATGGCCTAGACACCAGTTGACACTAGATGGCGCTGTACATGATAAAAAAATTGTATGTACACGAAGTATAGATAAATATATACAAGTTTTACTTCCATTTCTGGCAGTTTCCTCTGTCAGCCGTACATTACATTCAAATTTAGAGTGACTTGCCCGTGAAAATATTTTTCAGGAAAATATGCCACAATTGTTAAAAGAATCACTTTGTACTACAGGACTCTCTAGTCCTATTTCAACTTTTAACAAACCTGTCTAATGCTATGTTCGCATTAGACTTTTCTTTGGGGTTAAACAGACGTAGACTGTTGTCAACTCCACAAAATGAAGTACAGTGCGGCCGGCTGTTACTTCCCAAATTGTCAAGAGTCAACTGTCGACTGTAAGCTTTAAAGTCCGCAGCGGTAAGTTTTTACAGGGCCAACTGGGTTGCGGAAGAGTTACATTGCTAATTTTGCTTAATGAATGACTTTCCGCAGGCCAGAATTTATCCAAGTGCAGACGCACAGTAGAATAACTGCAACGCAATGTTAACAATCACTTGTAGTAACTTTTTGCAAAATTAAGTCTAATGCGAATGCGGCTTGGATGCCCAAGCAGGTTTTTTTTTACCTGGGGTGCTTTCCGATAAAAACACTGCAAGATGCTCTCTGACACACTGACACTATTATCTTCATAAAAGATACAATGACACACAGTTAAACGTTTCATTACACTTCAATTCCGATGGTCCTATCCAGTATCTGGGAGATCGTTGACGGAATAATCTCCAACAGCAAACACACAGAGATTACTCCTTGCTACTTTCTTGAACAATATCCTTCATTCAAAGTATCACCGAGTGTAGAAAGTCAACTCAAGCAACACAAAAAACCTCTTGGAAATTACCATGGTGAGCCTTTGTTTCCATGGTGTCGCCGATTTGAACGGAAAAGTGACTCTGCAAATGTTGATACTAACTTACATTGACAAAAGATATCAGGGTCAGTGACTAATCACTAAGCCTACAAAATATATTTGATTTGTTTTTTTTTATTGGCAATATATTGATGTTGATTTTCAAACTTAAATTATCCCCAGGTACCTCATGTTGAATCATGGAGTATGATTCAAGCTAATTTTTTCCCCTCTAGATTTGATTTTTGTGGGAGTGGTGTTGATTTTGTATTTCAATTTTCTGTGGGTGATTCCATTTTTTCAAATAAGTCAAACTTACACTACTTGTGTGCATGTACTATACCGTTCACCGTGAGGACCAACAGAGAAAGGGAGAACAACAGATTCTTTGTTGTCCTCGGGCGTTGGGTCTTTTGTCGAAAACGGTCCTCGATTGTGCGTTTATGTGTTTAGTCTATGGAAGAGTGTTATATTATAAAGACAAAGGGAAACACAAAGCATTGTCCTCGAGAGTATAGTAAAACACGTCTGTGTGTACATACCACTGCAAAGAAACGTGTTCTAAGAAACGTGTTCTAACAATTGGTGCGCATGTATACATTTTTTCTTTCGTGGTGCTACTTTTTCCAATCATTTGCACTTGAGGTACTCCATCATTATCTTTAATTGTTTGTTTAATCAACTTGTCAATATTTCCTGAGTAGTTTGCCAACAGCCTGAAGACCATCACTCTTAGACAATTTCCTACAAATTTCCTTGATAACAGACACACTTTTCACTCCTAATGACTGCCAAACTGAATCTAATTAAACCTGTTTCCCTAGGTATTATCTAAAATTCCCCTCCAGCCAGGGGGCCCATTCCAAGCATCAATTATCTAACGAGGAACAACCTGGGGAAATATGTGACACTAGTTAATTTCAAGCGGACGGTGAAATTTAAAGACTGGTGGATGTCATCACCACTAACCAAGAAAATTAAGAATTGATGAAATGAAATATTTGCTTGATACGACAGTCACGTAAGGACACGACGGCTTCAAGCCAGTGCTGTAGCCAAGGTGCTTACGGTGGATCACAAGTACATCACAAGTCCAGTCACAAGTAAATCATGAGCTAACTCACAAGTCCAGTCACAAGTAACAGCGGATGATTAATAACAAAGGAATTTGTTTGTCAAGGGTTCATTTGGATAGCTTGTGAGTGAAATCGGGACTGGATGACTTGTGATGGACTTGTGATGGAATCATGATGAACTTGTGATGGACTTGTGATTGACTTGTGATTGACTTGCAATAGCTTTGTGAGGGGCTTGTGATGGACTTGTGATGGACTTGTGATTGACTTGTGATTGACTTGTGATGGACTTGTGATGGACTTGTGATGGACTTGTGATTGACTTGTAATTGACTTGTGACTGACTTGTGGCTGACTTGTGATGGACTTGTATATATGTGATTGAATTGTGATGGACTTGTGATGGACTTGTGATGGACTTGTGATTGACCTGTAATTGACTTGTGACTGACTTGTGATGGACTTGTATATGTGATTGAATTGTGATAGACTTGTGATGGACTTGTGATTGACTTGTGATGGACTTGTAAATGTGATTGACGTTTGATGAATTTGTGATTGACTTGTGATTGGTTTCTGACAGTACCTCAACTAAAACAATGCTTCGAGCTCCTCGTTTATTAGAGGTCTAGTATCCTGACTCACCATGGCAGTGAAGTAGAACTTTTCAAAGTCCTTCTGGATGGTGTGGATGCTTCCCAAGGACTCTGCTTTCTCCTCCTTCATCTGACCCAGATGGATTTCTCCCTCTTTGCTCATCCATTCTGTAACCTGTGAATACACACACCCAGGAGAAAAAGGCAAATCTTACTGCTTGTTCCTTTGCTTAAATAAACTCCTCCCTCCCACAAAAAAAACAATAAAACAAAAACAAACAAGAGATATGTCTGTTCATGAACAGAACATCAGTCTTTTCCTGGTTTTCAAATTTTTAAGTAATCATGCCTTGTTGTACGTACCTGTACCGTGTGCACACACAAAGTGACCCAATGCAGTTTGGAATAAGTGTACCAAGTCTATGGTAATTGGGTAGAAGAACAAAATGAAGAAAACGACAAATTCTGAACAATAACAAAGGCCTTTTTTTCAGGAGACTGGGGGAAGGAGAACATTTCCCCTTACTTTTTAAAATAATAAAACCCCAACAACGCCAGTTAATAAAGACACCGTGACGGTGTCGCAAGCTCCAAAAATCCCACTTCTCTATTTACTTGACTTAATAATGGGACTGGAAACGAACTTTCATGCTCGAATAAAATCACCCGTTACTAAATAAAAACACATCAATACAGCATTCTCAAAAATAAAGTTTGTGTTTTTCAGGGACTTTACTTTCATACGTTGCTATTCTTCATTTGGAGGGAAAATGTTGCCTAATTTTTTTAAAACTCTAAACCCTGTAAAGCACTGAAATCATGCAATTCAGACACACATTCACCCAAAGGTCATTGCTATTACATGTACATGTACTTTACGTTCAAGGCATTACATAATTAATGTACAGTTTGAAATGAAAAGCAAAAAATACATGTATGTGTTCCAGTGTAATGACCTATTAGTGTAAACTACCGGTATTTTTAAAAAGATCAATACCAATCTTGACTCTCTAATATCTTCCAAACATTTACACTTAAATGTCAGGGCTTTGTGTTCAACGGCTTAATAAAAGCAGAATTATCACAAGTCTATAAAACTGAATCAATATTTGATCACACAACTGAGAGATTTAAGCACAAAGCGGGCAAGTTAAAAAAACAACAACTAATTTTATGTCATTTCAACAGAAGGATCCACATTACTTTATAATGTAACTACCTCAGTACTTTGCAAGCAAAATCCTTGCCGCCACCATTATGTACGGTCCGGTACTTAACATTTTGTCCTCTACTTTTTTATTGCCATAAATGGCTTTGGATTGAACAGCTAGATGCTTTCATGATGCCGGGTTAGAAAAGCTACTAAAACCGGGCCGGATGAATCGGAAAAGGTCAAGTACCATCAGACTGGGGTCATCATAACGTTATCGGGCGGCAAAAGTTTGGTAAAAAAAAAGTCAACAAAAGTCGGTACTTTTATCTTTTTCAACCCCAGCCTTGACTATTTCCATTGTTAAAAATTTGGTTTTGAAGTTTTGTGCCGGGCTATTTTTTTTCATAATCATGGGAACACAAATTTCGTGAAACTTTCTACCCAAGGACTAAATACGTTCCTGGAAAAGGCAAAACAAATCTTGTCACGTTTCCTTCCCATTGAAAAAAAAACGTACCCCAGAATATAAACTTTTTTTTAAGTGTGGTACCATCTCATTCTAATTGTGGTGAAGAGATTCATCTTTATTACTGTTACTATACTGCTAAATTACTATATACTACTGTTACTATACTGCTAAATTCAAGTATAGGCCTACTGCCTTTTTCAAAAGCAGCCATTATTGGTGAATTTGTGCACTTACGTCTGCCGTCTGCTCTTCGAACACCGCAAGTTGCAGTCTCTGGTTGAGGATGGTCAGTCGTCTGTCGGCAAGCTCGTCAAGCTGAGTGCAGGCCTGGTGCACCTGATCAAAGAGGGCGCTAACACATACCATGGCATCCCTGAACGAAACAAAATCAAGATGAGAAAGATGGGTGATAAACAAGAGAAATAAGCTCGGTTTGCACCAAACAAGTGTGAAATGGCGCAGGGCTGAAAAATCTAGAACTCAAACAAACAAAAACTGGGGCGGCATGAGGTTCACCCAGGGTTGAGTTCAACCCAGGTTGAGGGGCTCTAGTGTGAAAAGGCCTGTTCAAGAGCTGGATAGAACTGATTATGAATAATCTGCAAGTGCTCATTAGAAAGAAAACTAACATGATATTTGCAATTCATAATGAGGACAGCAAGAAAATGCAGCAAGTCTTTTCAAATGACCGGATTCTACATGTATGTTCGGACAAAGACACTCTTGACAGTTTAGTTTCAAGAATAATTACTTAAAGTCATTTCCTCTCTCACTTTTGACCCAATTTGAAAATAGCAACAAGCCTTAGTCATTTAGAAGTTAGAAACAGATGTTTACAAATGTCAGTTTCAATAAATAGCCTTTAGTGTGGGTGTGCTCAGTAGACGATGAAAGATAAAGTAATGAAGTGTACTGGTACCGGTACTTGTACAGTAGCATTAGTATTGAAAGGCGTAAAGGGAGACAGTGGTTTAGCAAAGGTATGTCTTTTGTAGCAAATATTGTTACACCAACCTGTTTAACGTTTTGTGTTCATAGATGCTGGAAAATCCAAGAAAAAAATTCTGTTCTTGTAATCTGGTTCCCTGACAGAGCAATTTATAGACGTCGGCCGACCATCGTTGGAAATGGATACAAAAATTCCACTTCTCTCGGAAAATGACAGCACACCAAGTACCATGATTTCACAGGATGCTTGAGACTATTATTCAATAACAGTCAAGTAAGGCATTTCATAATAATTTTTGTTTCTGATGTTTGCAAATGTTGTATAATTAGTACCTTTAAGTTTGAATATTAATATTTAACCCTAAAAATTCACTTTTCTGAAACGAACTCCTTTTTTTCTATGTCCCCTATATATCTGTCATTAAAATATAAAGAATTGTTTGCATTGGATCACGGCAAACATTTCCTTTCTTGGACCTATTAATGTCGGAAACTTCACTTCCATATCACAAATCTGACAGACAAAAGATTGATCACTTTTTTTGTGTAAGGACAGTGAATCCTTGTAAGTGTGAATAACAACTCAAAAAAAAATGCTGAGTAACAGTGTTTTGTTAAAGGTGTCCCGCCTTCTGGGATTTAGCCCTAATTCAGCTGGATTATCCAGACTTACAACAGGTTTTTGAGTCGATAGTTGACTGAACAATACAGGGCAAATATGACTGGTCAAATACTGTATCATGGTGTATGTAGTCTAGGGGAAGGTTAGAACTGGACGTGGGATGACTGTGATTTCATAACGGATGATCTGTCGACTTAAAGTTGTCAGGATTTGTAAGGATGTGTGACGGATGATGAGGAGTGAATGGGGGACCTTGGTGAAGATTTAAAGGCACATAGGATCATTTGCATTTATCTCAAAAGTAACCTACTCAATTATTATGAAAAGGCTTACTTGGATTAAAGATATTACTCGTACTAAACAACCCGTGAAATTATTTAGTCTGGACTTTTGTCATTTTGAAAAGAAGAATTGAAATTTTGAAATCAAGAAATTTAGGTGATTTTAACAATCAGTCAACTGACTGATTTGGAGAAATAAAGTTGTGCTAGTGACCATATTGGGCTTCCTGATCAAAAGGTTTTGCAGGTTTTTTTCACTGTTTTCTCGGGAAGGGTAATATCCACTGAGCTGAAAGTTCAATAGGTTAGGTTGTTTAACAACAGTCTTCATTTTTTTTTAGTGGTGTTATTATTGGAAACGAACAAAATGCATGAAGAGCAAATGATCGTATACCATGCCTTTAAATGAGGCAGGCAATGCTATCTAGGCCTTGTACATTCGCTGATCAAATTTATAATCGAGGAAGGAATTATCACTACGAAGTAAATTTCAACTAAAGGGTGCTAATTGAAGCTTTTTATCTGCTAATTGAAGCTTTTTAAATTATAAAACGGGTCCCTTTATAAACTGCTTTTGGTTCAGTTCAGAACAGAGGGTAGCTCCATGTATGTTGGGCACTAGTAAACAACTTCCCATTTCAGTCAAGCTAAAGTTACATACATGTACAAGTACCGTATGATTAATTCCAACGGACCATACCTTTCCTTGCTAACAAATTATTACTACCACTCAGGAATACTGGTAGGTATAAAAAAATTGGGAGGCTATAAAAATCTGGGGGACCAAATATTGAATTCCACAAATTTTGGAAAAAGTTCTGGTAAATGGGTCATTTTATAAAATTTGAGGTCCACTTTTTTCCTGTCCCTGTTACATCTGACATCGATGATTTTATAATTCTGATGATGCACTCCTTAATGCAGTCATCCTCAAAGAGCGATTATGAATAGTAAACGAACTATCCTGCAAATAGAATATTGTTTGAAGACGTCATTCTTAATGATACTTGAATGGCAAATACAAAGTACCAAGGTAACAGGGACAGGGAAATATGCCACACCTTGGACCCTAAATTTAAAGAATGACCCACATTGTAATAAATTCTGCTTTACTTACATTTTGTAAATGGGGAGTTCGGGATGCAAGAATGAATTCTAGGATGTGGGGATGAGTTATATCTAATTTTTAACTAGAAGAAACTGAGAAGATAAAGCCCAAACTTACTGGAAATCTTCTGTCAATGCCAAGGGCCCCTCGTGGTTGCGTAGGGTCATCAGTATCCCGTCCCCTTCCGTGTGTAGCCCCGCCAGCCGCGCGTCCTGGTATATATCCTGGTGCTTGTGTCGCACCGTCTCCATGGCGTGGTTGATTTCACTGGCGCTCTGCGGGGTACCGGTCATGGTGAAGTCCTCCATGGAGGCGAAGAGGAACTTGGCAGCACTCTGGCAGCCGGAGATGAAGGGCTCCAGTTTCTGGAAAGGAATGATCGAATGGAAAAAAAACTTGAATGCAATTTTCTTTTTACATGGACTATCAATTTGAGTTTATGTATTTTGTAAAATGTACATTTTTTTGAATGGTTAATAGATACACGGTGATTACAACTGAACAAGCTGTACAAAAATTGCATCAGGGTGGCAACCTGTATTACATCTGTGAAGCGCACGATCCAATTAAAAACAAAAATTGCAGAAAGTCTGGTGATTAGGCCATTCGGCTCAAAGTGAAATGGACATCAGTTCTGAGATGGTAACCATCTCGGATCTAAAATGGTTCTTGAAATGCACTCATTCGGCGACAGCCATTTTCTGAGGTGGCACTGCGGTTGCACCAGGCTCGTGTGAGTCGCACTCTGGTAGTTCGGCAAATAACACTATATGAAACATTTCAAAATGACAACATTTCAAAACCAACCAAAATCAAGTTTCTTCTGAAGATGAATTTCGTTCCCTGTCCACTATCAGATCAAGCACATAGTACATGTGTCCAAGCCAGGAAATGGACACACACAAACTTGGCTTAGTTCCATGGACTTATACTTTGAGCAAGCCACAATTGTGTGAATCACAGCTAATACACCCACTGCAGACTAGCCTCTTGCAGAGTCACGCCATCGCAATTGGTATTAGGAACAACTCAGGTCGCTCCAAATAGATTACGGTTTCAGACAGCAAGTTTATGTGATGGGCTCCGTCCGCGAAAAACAAGGGGCACTGTTTTGCCACTTTGAGAGCCCCATGGACAGGACACACCACGTGCGTGTACTGGTTCGCTCGTGTACAGCACAAAGTACACACTACTTATTTTTTGTAAAAATGATCACAAAGCCATAGTATTTCCTCCTGAGCATCAGACGCCAACAGTTATGCGGACAAATGTTAGTCCCAGTGGTCTCCCCTAACTCTACCTTTCTTTGAAGGGGGTCTTGTACGGGGAGTTCATAATTCCTTTGACTAGATTCTGCAGTGGTTCCAAACAATTGCAAAGGCTGATCTTTTGACGTACCAATTGCTTTAAGCTGTTTAAAAAATTGAACTTTTCGTATACCCGATTCAAATCTTCGGGAGAATTGGATTCAGTGCATCTCTGGAGCGCCAGTCTGACACATGTGTCAGGTATAAAAATCTTTTTGCTAAAATTTGGCAAGTCCAGCCATCAGCTTCAGGACAGCTTCAGTGTGACGTCTTCACTGACTCTGAATTTGATGGATTCTTTCCTCTCTCAGGTCCAGTCACTAAGCCCTAGCGGGCATCCACCCGATGACCAGACAAAACTCATCAACACCTCCAGACATCCTTCTTCCATTCCCAAGTCACAAATTCATCAGTCTGCTGTGCTCCGAGACGAGGCGAAGACTAAAAATAGTGGGGTCATAGACCCTAGAAATGTAAGCCACTGACCAGAAGTGTGAGCCGTCGGCAATTTGTCCAGACTGGGATTAATTTAGCAATCCCCCGACTTATTTTCGCAAACTCTGCCTGTTCAAGAGATTGTCATCAGCTGTCAAAATATACGGAGCCCAAAAGTTAAAGTCAAGCAGGCTCCTGTTCTCAAATCCAAATCAATGAGTATAGTAGGACAGTAGAACCATCCATGGCGGAACAAACAACAGCCTTGGGGGGGGGGGGGACCAATGAAAGTGTCTCAGAAATTACGCATCATTCAGCTATTAATAAACAAAAGAAAGTACATCATTTCATGGCAGGAACACAACTTTATATGCAGAGAGATTAACCACTGCAATATACCAACCTTCTTGAGCGGTGACGACTGAAACCTCTTCATAATTCTGGCTTCACCAAAATCCAAAACAGCTTAAAATTTTGTCTTGTCTTGTCCAAGAGCAGACCTCTCCCAGACACACAATAACCTTTCCCACAGAACTAGCATCCTTGTCTTACACCTGTTACACAACACTCAAGTCTGAAGTTATTAACTTTTCACCGTGGCCTTTCAATTGATTTGTCCTTCCACACACAGTCCTCCAGGTCCTAGGTCCCTGCCTGATTATTGGGGATCCTCTTGGTACCAGTGCTTGGCCTCAACTGAAACAAGCAGTCAAGATATTATTAAAGTGCATACCGAAAGTCCCAGTCACGGACAAATTCCACAAGTCTGGCCCACTGAGACGGAACAAATCTGAGGCTTGAAACAAAGGGAACCAACACAATGTATGCCACAGCCTAGGTGTGTGCTCGTTTAGCAGTGGTCCATTCCATCAGCGATGTCAGTGCAAAAGGTATTCAAAGCCTAATTCCTAAACAAGACGGCAAACACGGCATACCAAAGAAATTCAAGCACTGCATTTCCCCTATCCTACTAACTCTGTATCAACGCCTGGTAAGGTTGTGTTCCGGCTTCAACTGTCCATCAAAGAAGATATCCACACTAATAAATGCCAACAACTTGAGTCGCTCAGACACCAGGGGAGCAAACTCCGACATTCTTGGCATCCCCACACCGACCACAGGACACCCCCACTGTAGGGGATATTTTTCACCTTGTTTTGACTGCCAGGGGGTGATCTGGTGGGGGGGGGGGGTGTTAAGTTTATCAACAGGTCCTGCCTGATGGTGCCTTGGCAGTAGATGTAATTAGTGCAGAGGTAAACAAATAATGACCCGAGGGGGTCAGGGAACCAGATTTGACTGTGACCTCATCAGGAGGTTGAGGTTTGAAGATTTTTTTAAATAACCCAACAATCAGGCAAGTTTTAATTCTGAATTGCACTTTCGGAATTCCAAGCATTTCAATCAACCAAAAAATGACTTTACAAATTTTTAAATGCTATGACAAAAACAATTACACATGTTCATCTATGTTCCGGTATATCTTTAAATCGCGTCCCCCCCTCCCCCCAAATTAATTATCTAGCGTCTTTTAAAATTTGTGTTGGAATTTTTTAATTGAATCCATAACATGATGAATAATACTTAAATGGTTGATACAATTTCCAATTATGATGAACCAAATATGCCGAAATATTAAAATCTGTTGAACTATCCTGATAGATGCTAAAATTAGAACAAAACATTACTGCAAAATCAAAATAAGGACATCTTTATTAACACTCAACAGGGTTTCTAACTTTTTGACAAATTTGACCTCCACTTCAAAACCAATTGTTCACACGAGGCCATAGACTCCCATTACACTTTTATCACATACATGTACATGTACAATGCTTCAGAGACAGCCTGTCTGTGGCTATGCACTTGGGGATTGAATTGATAGTTGAGTTCTGAAACATGGTAAACTAAAAAAACTCTCTGGTGTTATCAACTTGGTCTCAACAGAAGGAATTTCCCAATACCTGAAAGAATTTCCCGCAAAAACAAACAAGGTGGGTGACGGGGTCACACAAATGGTTCAGTAGTCTAGAGGCTATTAACTCACCACAAAAGGTAAGAACACTGTGCAATCACATTACCACCATCGCCCCCCACCCCCCCCCTCCCATTTCCACCCCCCCCCACACACAGGTCTTCCACAATCGTGGACCCCCATTGTCCCTAATCCTCATTTCTTTGTTTGTAATCTTACATGTACGTCTACTTTTTAGCAATACCTCTCATTGGTTTTGTACACGAATTTCAATCGTGGACGTTCGGTCAATTGTGGACATATTGTTTGTACCCTAACCCTTTTGTCCTAGGTCCACAATTGCCAGCGTTTACATACTCACACACACACTCTCTCTCAAAAGAATATAGAGAACATTTGATGCAGGTGAACAAAACGTTTCATAAATTTAGACAGGAAACAGGTATCACAAGCATCTTCACTATTGGACACATTTTTTCACTAAGTTTCTCTTTCATTGAGCTTTCAAACTATAAACATGTTTTTGGAAATTTAAATAAAACATTCTGTGTGTTGGTAAGTTTTCTTCAAATGTAGAAAACAAAATTAGTTTTTTTTTTTTTCTTTTTGATTTTTTTTTTCATTATTGTTTTTTTTTCTTCGGTTTTTGAATTTTTTTTGGGGGGGGGGGGGGGTAATGGAGGTTGGGGGCCTGCAGCTATTTTTTTTTTTTAAGGTTAAACATGTTACAATTTAAAAAAAAATTCAAACGACAAAATGAGTGTTGACTTACCATTCTAAACCGGACCCAGCTGTCATGGTCGTAAGGGAATCTTCCACTAAATCTCTTGGTTAGAAGATTGGCGGCAACATGCTGATGGAGCTTGTCGATAGAATGCACGACCTCGCACTACAATCAAGAAAACAAGTCATTTTTTAAAAAAGCAGAGCAAATACACGAGCAGACATTTTAACAATTTGTTTTATAATAAAGAAATTAAACAATACTAAGTCATACTGACCTGAGAACTTGAGACAGCTATAAAGTCTTCCACAATTTTTGGAGAAGAAAAGCTGATGCATCTTCTTTAAGTTATATCATTTGTTAAATTCTGTCTCTTAATGCAAATTAATTCTACAGTAAAAGATTTAACACCTGTTCCTATTTTTTGTATTGCTCCAAATATTAAAATACTAAAATGTACCTTGTAGTTGACTCTTGGCTTGGAGTAGCCTGTGAAGAAGCGACTCAGAACGGAGTCTGAATCTGTGAGGACTGTTGTCTGATGGATTGCGCCAGGGTAGCTCTCCTAAAAAAAGGTGGAGATGGGTGAGAAATCAGGAAAACTTTGACGAAAGAAGAGCACTTTTTTCCAAGACCATCACTAAACTTGATTTGCAATTCGTAGAGTCGTGGAGATAAGTTGCAATGCTGCTATACCTTTAGTTTTCAGAAAAAGAAGACATTCTTTCAATATTATTTTAATTTCTCTTTCTCTTCGTTATTAAAAAAAAAGGAAATGAATGAGAGAATGATATCCACAATAACTGAAATACCTCTAGTATTTGGAGAGATTCTGCGATAATTTCCACGGCAGACTTGGGTGCAGATCTGGCATCAACTGCCACGGATAAGCCTCTGGCACGAACCTCCTCTCTGGAAAACAAGAAAACATTACAAAAAAGTTAAACAGAAGAACCTATCAATTTTTTTCCAATTTTCAAACACAAAACAGTCTGTTGCAATGTACTGTTCAAAAGCACAACCAATCAGAGTCTGCCTGTACTGCATCCAATATATGCAGCTTGGTGCATTTCATGACAATAAGTATGATATATAACATATTATAACTGTTTTGAAAACGATTTACAAATCACATACACCAAATCTCATCCAATAAAAAGAGGTTTGTATTTGGTTCAACATCCGCAGAGCAATCACAGTCAATACCTGAAAAACCCAGCACCACCTAGTTTCAACTGACCAAGACTTGAGCACTGGACAACGAGAGAAAGTACACCAGCACGGACAAAGGACAAAACCAGAATCCCTATGAGTAACTCTCGGATGATGCTGTTCAGGATTTTTTCCAATGTAACAAAAATCCTCTTCTGCATAGACTTTGTCGGACACTTAACTAGCCGCAGACTGAACTACTTAAGTCATTGCCGGGGTGGGGCGCATCATCTCCCCCCCCCCCCCAATCTTTTTCACCCCCAGGACAGAAGACGCGTCACCCCTGGGGACAGACAGAGTGACGTCACCCCTGGGAATCAGATATGTCAGTTACAGAAGACCAGCTTTTCCTCTTTGGCTGCGCAGGAAAAACAAAAATTGCTCATCATTGTGGTTGGCCGTTCATAATTGCGCAGCACTTATTCAATCAGGTCGAGCAGACTGGAGAGCGTTGCATCCACTTTGTGAGCGGCGTGTATTGTTAAAGCAAAGGAAATACAATTTCTGGGACAGTGACGTTCCTGATTATGGCCGTGTTTAATGGCAACATTGTATGTGATGGCCTATCACAATTGATTTAATCAATACGTACTCTGAGTTCTCTGAGATTGAGACTTACGGTTTGTTTCACTCTCTTATCTAAAGCGAAGAGAATACTGAAATAATAATGTCCCACAAAGTATAATGAATGGCATATTAAATATTTTGGAAATACTGCTCTCCCCATAGCGTGAAAATAAAGAATGTCAGATTCTGTAAAACTTGCAAATGAAGATAGAAGGCATGTTTTAATAGAAACATATTTACTATTTCTGAATATATAGAGCATATGGCTTCTGCATTTATTGCAACTCTCTTCACTGAAGAGACACCCAAAACTATCCCTCTGGAAGTGGACCATCCCGTTCTCAGCCAATCAGGATAAAGTTAAGTTACAAATAGATCGTTCCATTAACTGAATAGGTAATGTATGTTAATATATTTGAAAGTCAGGGTAAACAACCTGCAGTACAAAAATAGGAATAATTGACAGAAAGTGTAATCAACCCAACAAGTCAGGAAACCATATACACAATTTTTAGACTTAATTGACAGAACAGGAAAAGGGCACGATGATTTTGAACACTTTCATCTACGTGCTGCCCTCTAGTTGATGAGAAAGAATGCAGAAAGAATGTGTGTGCAATTTTGTGGCTTTAAGAGCATGCGAAGTATCCACAACCACACTTCCCCAGACCTGATTACTGCAATGTTGACAAAACAAGTTGTGGCAAAACAACAAGACCCCCCTCAAACTGTTTTTCAAACTAGCATTTCTTGTCCGTTTTTTTTGTTTTTGTTTTGTTGTGTGATGCAAAACAACAATTATGTGCAGCCGGACAAATGATGACTTTTTACTATCATCTCTTCATGGAAAGTGACTGACCATCTGAAATTAAAAATGGCCCAAACACTATCCAGTCATGGCTCAATTCTGCTTGGAATTGCCCCCCTTGCTAGGTGAAGACAGATGAAGGGGGCCACATATACTTGCAGCACTTTCCTGGAAAACACAACGCCTCAATAGGAATGGGTAAACTGTCTTGGGTATTCACGAATGTCAAACTGTACAATGTAAGTTCCTGATATTTGATGGGAGTAGCGATAAAAACACTACTAACAATAACACTAAACGATCAAGTGTGTTGATGGTAAGCTTTTGTTAATAAGCCACACAGTAAGCTAAAACAACAGCTCCTGCGCAAAGACAGAGTAGAAAGAGGAAGTTTTCACCGATCGTGGAAGGAAACAGTTCATGAGTGCTGATTGCCAAACACAGACTATGCTTCCGCGCCCAACAACCTCGGCACCACACTACTGCCTCCTGTGTTACACCGATACTACTACGCACTGTCCAGACTAGTTCCCTGCTCGTGCAAGGATGGGTCTGCAATTAGCCGAAACATGCCCGAGTAGTGAGATACTTACCGGTGCTTTAGGAAGGTGGGGCTTTTATTTTCTTCGGTCTTTGGTTTTGGGTAAATGAAAGTGTGGACTAAAACAACATGAGAAATATTCCCCATTTTTTTTAGGGGGTGGGGGTGGGTTGGCGTTGAGAGGGTGGGGTAGTTTTTGTTGGCATATTCCAAAACAAATCTGGAGAAGGCCTAGTGATTAACAAAAGTAATGCATAACGTTTTCCAATGAACAGAAATAAAGAAAGAATGGAAAGATTTAATGAAAAGGGGTTTTTAAAAATTTTAAAAACAAAAGTAAAACCCAAGAATGGTTTGATCTTGTTTGTTTTATTCTGTTGTTTTTTGACACTTCTAGTTCTAAATCAAACATAAAACCCAGTCGTGCATCAACAACCACAGACACCCAAACTTCCCCACGCCTGCTTGGAAAAGATAACCTAATAAGCCACAACAGGTCGTAAATGGGTCAATAATTGAGGGCTTAACTACAGTGGGGTGGGGACTGTTTTTCTCAAGTCGATGAACATCCGTCCTCATGGACAGAATCCCCCGCTTCGACCCGTCCAGCCCACAAGGGAACCCAGGCAGGAATAAACAGGTCATTAGGTCCCAAGCCTGGGGATTAGTGAGGCCGAAGAAGGAGTGAAGTCAGCTTATGGTAATTTTTGCTGACCTTTTGAAAGACGGCCAGAAAAACTTTAAAGGTAGTTATTCTTCTCTATTGCTTTTAACTTTTTTCGTATCTTCGGACAATGAGACAGTAGACAGGTTGGAATAAGTGATGAGTCACGGGCAGGAGTGACAGAGGTATTTTGATTGAGATAGGAAACGCAAACAACAGGCATTGAATATGGCAATGAATGTGCTATCACTATGACGAATATGTTATCGGGCTCAGGACTTCCTTCGCCGTCATTTATGACAAATTGCTCCAATTTCCTCTAATAATATTTTTCCCTATTGTTTTATTGAAACCAGAACTATTAATTTTTTGTTCTTAACTTGTTTTTACAAACCTACAGAGTTTTACTCTGAGCGGTGTCCAAGGAATGTGGATTGGGTTTTTTGGTCTCTCCTCAGTTAATGTAGATGAAACGGATTATTAAATTTTACTTCACAGTGACATTTCTCCAAGGTTTTGCTTCCCACATTGTGGGCCCAATTTCATGGCGCTGCTAAGCACACAATTTTCTGCTAACTGAGAACCCCCGTCTTTTTCATGGAGACGGTAAGCACTAAGCCCACAAAAGGCATGCTTACCTCAGAGGAAAAAGTTGCTGAAATTAGATATCTCCATATGTGACCTGTTCTGTCAAAATCAGACTTTTCTGGGCATAAGGTCGAAAATGATATTTTTACATTTTGTTAACATATGTTCTTTTTCCTTTTTAATAGGTGGTTTAATTTTTGAAACCGGTCATTCCTGGGCAGAGTTATGCTATTTTTAAGTTCATTGTGTTGAAAAGTAGAAAACGGAGAAAATGGCCACGAACGTCACAAAACAGTTATTTCTTTAACTGATATACCTTATCAAAATCATCAAAAATAGTATATGTAGAGTTCAAATTAGGGTTTCAAACTTTTCAAAAATTTGAAAATCGATAAAAATCACCCCCACATCGTTTTTTGGCCCTATCTCAATTTCAACCTCTGCCCAGAAGCGTCTGCTTTTGACAGAACAGGTCACATATGCGCAGCCATTGGCACATCCATGCCATGACATAGCGCTTAAGGTTAGCACTATTTTCTGCTATAATCTAGTTAGCACAACTTTTCTGCTTACTGTTAAGCAGCGCTATGAAAATGAGCCCCGAATGGTTACATGTATCTTAATGGTTATCTTCCTTCCTTTTGATTACATGCAATTAAGCCATTGTGACTAACCTACATGTAATTACAATGTACAAAAAACAATACTATTGGCAGACCACAGAGAGTGCAGGATGCAGTGGTTTTTGCTATACCTTTTATGACGGAATGTTTGTGTCAGACATTTAAACAAAATACGAAACAACTTTGGTTCTAACTTTGCATGCAATGAAGCCTATTTGAGGCATTCTGGCTAATTGAGACAGAACTGGGCAGAGGTCCAAATGAGGGTTTGCAGGTTTTAAGAAAGAAAATGCAATTCTCCTTACAGTACTGTTTGTTGCACTTCAATCAGACACTCAGTTGACAAGTTAGGCCAAAAAAAAAGTCTCCGGTTTCTGGTATGCGCGCGCGTCGCCATAGCCATGCGGCAAAATGAAAAAGTTTTTTTTTCAATGAAAGACGATGTCTCAAAACCGCCAAACTCACTGGTTTGACTGGAATCCTGCTGCTGCACAATTTTAACGTATTTTTAGATTGGGTTATGGTCGAGAATAAGCTAATATGTGGCCTCTCTGGACTCCCATATATTTGCACTAAGTTTAGTCGGGCACCATTTGCAGTCATCAGCCGACATTTGAAGCAAACAAATCAGGAAAAAAAAAAAAAAAGCCGCGTCGCCGCACCACTTTTTGGGCAAGCTCCATACCAGAAACCGGAGACTTTTTTTTTTGGGCCTTATGGCAGTTTAAAGTTTGCACATATTGACCCCCAAAAAAGGCCTTAAAGTTCAAGTTTTGCAGTCGTGCAAATGAAAGACGCCAATTGTCAGTCAGTTGGGAGTCAGTCAGTCAGTCGGGGAGTCAATCAGTTAGAGGAAAATGGATAGGCCCTTCGAGTCCAACAAAAACCTATTTTCTTCCATAATTAACAAGCAAGAGGGAAAATGTATGACAAAAGGAGTGAAAAAAAAAGACCACCAAAAAACCTGTGAGATGTCCATACCTGGGTATGCCAAACAGGTATCCAATCACCTTGCTGATGTCGTGAAGACTGTACTGGGCCTCCATCCAGACAGAACTGTCCCCTTGTACCTCCAAGATGGCTCCGCCCCTGCTGTCTCTCGACCCTAAGACAACGGAAGCAGGTTGATAACAGGAGGTCGGATTAAGAAATCTTGTGCAATTCAAACAAAATGAAATACAGGTTTGTTCATAAAAAGAAAGGTTTCTTTGCTGATGGGAGTGTTACATGTATTGCATGGATTGCATTTCTGTAAAACCCACAGCAATTTTCACCTTTTGAAAATATCCTGCAAAATATAATGACAAAAATCCAAAATGTACCAAAAAATGTTCATTTTGTTGGGTCCTACTTGATTCAAACTCAATGTTTTCCAGATGTCACGATACAAATCAAAATGAAACAATTGACATGGGAATACATTTAATATGGTGTACATGTACATGTACATGTGAAACCTGTTTTTCTGAGGTGTTAAACTATAGAAACAGATCCAGAAATGTAAATATTTACATGTACATTGCAAAGGTAGTAGGGTACTACCCTTAACCTGGTATAAAGCTTTTTTTTTTATAAAGGTTTAATTTTCATATCACTGATTATCCTATGACAACTCAAAAAAACATGTAAGCCTCTGGTGAAATGACTTAGCAAGATTCAATGATTTTCTCAATTGCTCCCCGCCAAGGTTCCTGATCCAATTTTCGTTGAAAGCCGTGAAAAGCTGGGATCCCAGTGAATTTACGCGACACTAACCATGGCAGTATGGTTTTTTTAAATGCAAAGTTTGCAGCAGGAAATCCCCAATATTCACACCCACCTCCAGAAAGACAAGTGTAATTAAATGTTGGACCCGACTGACGTCAATATTCGTAAAGATGACACCATGCTCACTCCCTTGAGGACTAGAGATGAGAGTGGACTGTTTTACTTTTTTTTTGTCCTTTTGTTTTTGGACATGTAGCCAGCGTGTCAATTCAGTTAACACTTTGCAATCCGGTGAAATTTGCAAGTGGTAAGGTACTGTCAGAAATCTTTACTCATTCTGCATAAACGACCACTGGGAGATCAGAATTTGCAAGTCACTACTTAGTTCTGGCCTTAATTTTAAACCACAACATGCATCAAAATTATACGTCTTCTTTATGTACTGACTCAGGATATTTGGAGTGAATTCTCAATGAATTTCAACATCCCTATGTTTTCGTACATCACCATTTTTGAAGTAAACTGAAGTCTTGAAATTGTGATAAAATATATCAAATCATTACACAGGTTCTTGTCTCATGGAGAAATAATTTCCAGAAAGAGACAAGATACAATCAATTTTTGGACACGTTCCAAAAAAAATTAACACATTGCCACCAAACTTGGTTACAGACAGACTTTATGGGGATACCGTACCTCAGGAAGATCTTTAGCCTAATGTTTTGTACACAAGTACATTTAAGCAGTGTTTCATTACATTTAACTGGCTGAAATCAAATGGAATCAGTCATATTAAGAGACCAGCAGCCAATTTCACGCATATTTTACAAATGTACGTCATGCGTAGGACTTACGCACAACAAATTTATTTTGCAGCTGCGCAATAAACTTACGATAGATTTCACAAAACTTGGCATAGCTGCACAATGTTTTAAGTAATTGAAACATCTTGGACGAGGATAATAACAGCATTTACGACGGCTGATTGTGTTTGATTTTGTTCATTCATGAATGTCGTTGCATCACCTCTGCCTGCCATTTTGAAAATAGTTTCCTCCTTTTTTCCGAAATCATGCGGCAACTCAAGAAAATCTGTCACATTTACTTCAAACACAATTAAGAAGGGTGAGTGTCTTGTGTCCACAATAATCATGATTTGCTGGTAAAACAGGTCATTTTCAGTTGCTATGCCACAACTAACGTCGCCTAAAATGATTGCGCAAGTCACAGACTTACGAACTATGAAACTGTTGTGAAATTATCCTAACTGAAGTGTTCATGCTGTGCAACTTACGCAATAAATTGTAATGCAAAGTGAAATTATGCAGTTGCGTAAAGTTTTCGTGAAATCAGCTGCAGGTGTTTAAGCAAAGTGTAACTACACGTACCTACGTGTATATTTATCGAATACAAAAACATACCAAGCCCTCACATGTCCTCACACGTCAATAACAAGTCAATCAATCACAGTGTTCTCTCGTCTAAAGTCAAGTTCTTCCAATCTACCGTGGACAAAAGACATTCCTTTGTCATTGTTCATCCCCATCGCTTATGATTTGACGTTGTGAGTTGATTTTCGACTCGTGTTGGAAATCGCCTACAACTCTCACTTAAAGCCAGAGTCCATCATTTGCAGCTATCCAAAAAAGTAACTGGCGTAATTATTGTTGAAAAACATACTGGTTGAAAGATAGTAAGGGGACTTAACTCCCTGTGAAATTATTCTTTCTGGCAAGCTCTCATTTTGAAGAAATCAACGAAAGAAGGCATTTCCAACGGTGCGTCTTAAGAAGCACCGTAGGAAAATTTAAATTAGTGGTTCGTTTTGTTATTTGGCGCAGCGCGCGCAAGCATTGGCACGACGCACAGGCGCGCGCGGTTGCTATAATTCGTCGGATCAGTGCATGACATCGCGTAAAGCTGCAATTCAAAACAATTTAAAACATGATTTAGCAAATTTTGATTTGAAATTGAGATCCTAGAATACTGTTTTTCTCGGAATATACAGCTGAAGATGAGTTGAAACTTCATCAGGTTAGTTGTTCAGTATCCTTCATTAGATTTTGAACACTTTTGTTGCTTCAAATGAACAAAATGCACAAATTACAAATGATGGACTATGTCTTTAAAACATTGAATGCCCACCTGTAAGAATGACAGCCTGTGAGTGCAACAGTTCAAAGTTGACTTCCAGCATATACTGGGCTAGTTGCAGTTGAGATGTCCTTGCATCCTTGTGTCCGCTACCATCGTCAGAGCTGGTACTGCCCAGACCAGAGCCAGGTTTCCTCATTTCTCTTGTCCCTAAAAAGAAAAAAACACACCAAAATACCAATAAGTCAGTGTTAAAATATAAAAAAATGCTACCTATGGGTCATGCCACGAAATGTGGGTCAACATTTTTTCCTGTCCCTGTTACATGTACATCCTAGACATCAATGATTTTAAATGCAGTTGTCCTCCAACAATGATTATGAATAGCAAACTACGGTACCCAACCAACAAATACAAAATCGTTTGAAGTCATTCTTAATGATACTTGAACGGCAAATTGTAAAGCACCAAGTCAGCAGGGACTGGGAAAAAAAGGTCATACTTTGAACTCTTAATTTATAGAACGACCCACATACATCTCTTAGCACACGTACCTTCGCAAAGGCATACTGTACCAAAAGTCAACATTTTTCTTTTGGACGACACAAGTCTGTATCCGACTTCAATAAAATTGTATTGATCAACCAACACCTGGAGTTTTTAAAAATTTATTTTACAATGAACTGCTTACATTTCAAAAGCTCCTCAAATAAGAAAATACCGGTACTTACATACAAAGCGAACTCTGATACGCAGATGTCCTACATTGCCATGGCAACACACCACATGTATACTTTCGAGAACAAAGTGTTTAGATTTTTCCACCGCTGTGTCGGCCATCTTATTTTAAAGTTGTTAATTGTTCTTTTTTAGAAACTCAATCTGGTCGTTCTTTTGTGACATATGTGCAAATAGTGACTACTTTTTTTTGCTGAAGTCCACAATGCAAATGAAGAGCCTCTCTATCACCTGTTCGCAATTGACAAACTGATAATTGATCGAGCGATAAAAATAGAACAAAATGCTTCCTGTCCAGTGGATCATTAAGCTGTATGTAGGGGGGAAGTGTGGAATTCCAAATGAGATATTTATTGTTGATGTGGTTTTGGTTTAATCCTGTTATAGGAAAACCACACTATTGCAATTTCCGTTACTATGACAAAATGTGACAAACATTAAAAAAAAAAAACGAAAAAAAACATGGAAGGTATTAAGAATGAATACCCACAAAACCAATCAAGAGGTTGTGTAATTCCTGTACATGTACCCTTAAATGGACATTTTATCGTCATCTGTACACCTTAGGGGGACAAGGTACCCGGTACCAGTAGATTAAACATTCATTGTCTCCCTAATGTCACACCTCCTATTCAGAGACACAATTTTACCGTCAAAAATTTATGTCCAAAACTATGTACCAAAATTTGTAGGGGGTAGGATATGGGAAATTGGGGCAGTAGGGGTAATTAAAGTTGGAAAATTTTTGGTTTTGTATGTGTTTAATTTTTGTGTATAACATGAAAACTCTAAGTAAATATAGTCATGTTCCCTAACGTGGCGCACTTCGAAGCTTACCGAGCTTTCCTGGTTTAGCGTTGCCAAACCTCTTTGTTGACAAACCTCAAATTCATGCAGTAAAATACTAGTACTTTATCAGGCATGCAACTGGGAAATCACAAAAAAAGAGGAAATTCAAATTTTTCACAGACTTTATACAGTGTTTTTCTATTTTCAATGGCACACATGGGAAGTAAAAAAAGAGGAAATCAGCTGATCCGAGGAAAAGTTGCATGCCTGCTTATTAATGCTTGCTATTTAACCTTTGTGAACAATTTCGGTATCATAAAATTTAATCCGAAATTCAAAAACGGTGGCGTCCGGAAATTGGGCACAAATTGGCGGAGTGTTCCCTAATGTGGCGCACTTACATTGTAAATAAATCTCTGAAAATTCCAAATTAACATTTAAGAATGTCTGTAAACTTGATAAATTCTGATAAATCATTATTATATCTACTTACATACCCATCCAGATGTTTGTCAGAAAATTATTTTCTTTTTTGGGGGGCATTTTCAAAGGGTTCACTTTGCACTTGAAAATAAAATCGGAAAATCACGCCAAAATAAGATTTTCATCTAACTTTGCAACAGGTAAATAATCTCACGATTTATGAACGGGAGTGTTTAGAACTTAATGAAATTTCACTTTCTGTGAAATTTCAATTAAAACTTTTGCTCTAGGTAGGCGCTACAGGCGAAAAATCAAAGTGCGCCACGTTGGGGGCCGCGCCACGTTAGGGTACATCAACAATACTATTTTTATGCTTGTATGTAAATTATGTGACCTTGCAGCAAACAAATAAATAAATATCAATAGATATAACTAATTCTAAATTATTATTGAACAAGAATGTTTCTCCAATGTCATTCACCATGGAATGATAGTCATAACAAACAGTGGATATACCCCATTGTTAAAACTTGTTTGTAAATGGGAAGGGTTTAACCTTGAAAAGTGTGAAAACCGTTGACAGCGCAAGGCAAAACAGAATTAACTTTTGCTTTCATTTTCGTTTCAGGGACTTTTCAAAAAGTTTTTGGGAAAGCATGCTGTGAAAAAATCTCACCATTATTTCAATTTTTTTTTCAGAGAGGAACGTGACTGGGTTTTTTGGCGTCATTGTGGTTTTCTGAGTATTTATAAGTATTGGTAACTTGCCAGAACATGTGGGCACTGAAGGATTCGTGATTATTGGCCAATTTCCCGAATCCCTCAATAGAGGGCAGCATATCCATTTCACATGTGGAGCATATTCAGCTTTTATTAAAAAGTGATATCTGCAGAAGTTCACTTGTTCTAATAGAAATCAATATACCTTTCTGAAGTGTTCCAATTTATTTTTGCCTTTTTGTAACATAAAGGTTTGGTTCACTGGCTAAAGTCCCAATTTTCTCCATAGAGGGCAGCGTACCATTTTCACATGAAGAGCATATGGGTGCAGACCAGTAAATACACTCCCATAGATCTGTGATAATTATGTGCAGTTCCAGAAATTATTAAAAATACTCACAACTCTCCAAGGTGTTTGAGACACACATCCAATTAAAGCCTATTTCATTATCTTTCATTTTCAGTTCAATTTTTTTGGGGTTATCCAATGACTTTTGGGAGAAAATTCCATCCAAAGGTGATCACCCCTAAAAGTAGTCCTGAAGCCCATCGTCATTTTGAAAAATGATGCCTACGCTCCATTGCAAAATTGAGCAATTTTAGGGGCCAATTTCATCCGAATTTCACAGAAATACGAGCTTGCAGTCCTCCGGCTTCCACCCATCTTTTTTTTACAAACCGTCAAGTTCATGGCCCACACAACCTGCTTTAATAGCAAAAAAAAATGAGGGCATACAAAGCATGATTTGGCCCATGTAGGCAAGCTTTGGCCTATGTACTGGCTTGCAACCATATGAATCTTTTTCCCCATTTAAGTTATGCTTGTAGATGCCGACGTAATTTTTTTTTTTAAATGTGGAGCAACAACATTTCAATTAATGAGATAACATTTGTAGAAAGAAAGATTCAGTTAACTTAAATTGACTAAAGATTCCACTGACTTTAAACACTTTCAATGACTGAGGTTTAAATGAATTTCAAAGAAAGGTTGCAGGGACATCAACCCTGATTCATAACTTGTAAAAGAGCTTTTTTCTCTCTCTTCTCATTAGGCAAAAAAAAAAAGTCTCCGGTTTCTGGTATGGGCGCGCGTCGCCGTAGCCATGCGCGTCGGCAAAATGAAAAAGTTTTTTTTCAATGAAAGATGATGTCTCAAAACCGCCAAACTCACTGGTTTGACTGGAATCCTGCAGCTGCACAATTTTAACGTGTTTTAGATTGGGTTATGGTCGAGAATAAGCTTTATGTGGCCTCTCTGGACTCCCATATATTTGCACTAAGTTTAGTCGGGCACCATTTGCAGTCATCAGCCGACATTTGAAGCAAAAAAATCAGGGGAAAAAAAAAAAAAAGCCGCGTCGCCGCACCATTTTTTGGGCAAGCTCCATACCAGAAACTGGAGACTTTTTTTTTTTTGCCTTATGTTACAAGCAAAAACGCAAGATGATGTTTCAAGGGTGATTTTCCACAATCTGAGCTTAACCTCATTACAATCATTTCAAAAGTTCAAACCAGATTTATAACTCCAAACCCAGACCTCATATCACAATAATGTTCTTGAAACAGGACAATAGTCGAAGTCTGAGCAGTAGTCCCAAGAGAGGCGGCTTAAAATCTCCTGAACGGTAGTATGAGATGAAGCTCTGGTTTGGACCGCCAGCAACATGTGGACTACTGTATGCTGCCCTCTTGTGTTTCAATGGATATAAAACTGCACTTCTGTTTTGCCTTTGCAAGCCTGTACATATCCAAATCCGCAGACTTTTTTTCAAGAATTAGGATTATGAAAAAATGCAACTGGGATAAGTTATGAGTATTATTACCTGCGTCAACCAATTCAACATAAAATTGGCTACCGTTGCATTTCACATTTTTGAGACCAGTGTTTTAGGATAACAAAAAATTCCAGACGATACAATTACAAAACAGGCCCGTTCCCTGACCTGAGACTTTGGGGCTTTGTCAAACCCAAAAGTGGAAATTTTAAGAATTTCTCAGAATAATCGGATCCCACAACCACTAAATTTATTTCACTGTTACTATGCTGACTGGTGTACATGTACTTTGATACATGTGCTCGTAAGACCAGTTTTAGACCACAGTCACAGGAAACCCCAAAGATACAGGAACAACCCATTTTAAAAATTCAAATACAAAAATGTTAAATAAGGCATGTCTACTAAAGGTACAGTATATCATTTGCAGCTATCCAAAAAGTAACTGACACAATTATTGTTGAAAATCATACTTGATTTAAAGATAGTAATGGCACTAAACTCCCTATGAAACTTTTCTAGCGTGTTGTCATTTTAAAGGGAAAAAAAATAAAAGAAGGTAATTTCCAAAGATGCCGCTAAAGATGCATTTTTGGCGAAGCCTGGAATGGGTGCGCGCGCAAGCGTTGACATGGCGCACACACGCGCAGTCAAAATTCATCAGTTCAGTACGTAACATCGTATAGCTGCAATCGGCTGAATGAGAACGTGTCCCGGACGCTGATTTCAGGCGCTAATTAAAACACAACTCGCCAACTTTTGAATTGAAATCGAGATCCTAGAATATGGTTTTCTCAGAATATACAGCATTCACCGAGCTAAAACTTCATCAGGTTATTTGTCAAGCACCCTTCTTTAGATATTGAGCACTTTTGTTGCTTCAAACGGAAAAAAAATGCACAAATGACAAAATGATGTACTCTACCTTAAAAACCTTTCTATCTAAAGGTACTACCGGTAACTAAAAATGAAGAACATCCTCGTCTGTAAATCAGAAAAGCCAGGGATAATGCCAGATATCACGGGACAAATCCACAGGAAGGTTGCAAGATAACGGTGTTAATAATGTGATATTAATAATCCGAACATGACTGCCTACGACAAATCCATACCAAGCCCACCTGGTATTAATATTAAATCCGTCTCCTGAACCTTCCCCACTTCCTAACCATCTGTTTGATCCATATTTTTGGACGAATAATAATGAGCCGCTGACTGACTGAAAAAGGCATGAATTTCATATGTCAGGGTGAAATATTAACATTTGTGATGACTGTTTTCAAATGTTAGTGTTATCTTTTACGTGGGTTGTTCTGTAAATAATATTAAAGTTGCTCGTGTGTCCTAAATATTAATGTGTTTTCGGAATGTTTTAATATACCGGTATGTATTTTGTTTGAATTTCTTCATCTTTTCTTAAATTGAATTTAAGGACTGCATTTTGAGGCCTTTAAGGCATTTCAAGCGAGTATTCCCTGGGGAGAAAATACAGTAGGAATTTTTTTGTAATCAGTTGTGGGACAAAAAAAAATAACATTATTTTTTCCAAAACATTTCTTTACGTACATGTAAATACACATATCTTTGCGTAAATAAACATGCATGTGTACACATTAATTAGTTACATGTACATGGGCATGTGCATCATATTCATAAGCAGAGAAGATTCCATCTGGATACAAATGTTACAATTTTCCTCTTTTTATTCCAATTAGTACATGGGAGCACAGGTCCTGGGAACCTGGAAGTCACGGACCTAGGCCCAACAAGAAGACTACTGTTACATGTTTAAATGAATTGTCCACATGTCCCGTGTAGGGGATAGAAGAGATTCGTGAATGCATGTATGTGTAGTTCACATAACAGGACATGGCAAAGAAGAAAAGTCCCAATGACAGTTTCTTTTCTTCCAAACTCTGACCCATGTTCATTCGCACGCCATCGAAAAAAATACAACAGTACAACAGTATAATTCTCTACACAAACAACTTCGAGGTCAAAAAGGCAAAGCTTCACTTTTTCCCCATACAGTCAATACAGCAAACAATTTTTTTTTAAAAATCTAACAAAAGAAATGTAATAGAGAGCATTCAAGCCGAGATTGACTGATTGGTCGTCAGTGTTGCCATGGTAATAGTTCTGCCTGACAGCCCACCAATGAATGCAACTCCTCATGCAGGGGTGATTTCGTTGGGCACCTCCATTGTGTGTTTTGATAGCGCTTGGTTGATGTCAGCCCATTAAAGGACCACCCAAACGTTGAAGGGACTCATAAAAACCTATAACTGACTAAGCGTGACCGGGAATCTGTAAACTGAATCATGTTAAAGTCTTAGAAAAAAACTTTTTAAATTGTCCAATTTACATAATGTAGGAGAAGTTTGCAGATCGATGCACTATTAAACCTACATGTTATAAGATTGAATTTTTGCGTCGGGGTGATATAAATCAAATTAGGTTTTGCCCTGCACCGACGTTTAAACACTGTATACTCAGTGTGTTACCTACCGAGTGAAAGTTGGAAAAAAAATCACTCGGGTGGGACTCGAACCCACGACCTCCTGCTTTCTAGTGCAGATGTCTTACCACTCGACCACCGAGCTAACGGGATCGGTTGGCTGGTTCGAATCTGATGTACCCGCTGCTACATGTACATTGTACAGTACATCAGATTCGAACCAGCCAATAATAGTTTACGCGGTACCCGCTGCTATGTACATCAGATTCGAACCAGCCAACTGATCCCGTTAGCTCGGTGGTCGAGTGGTAAGACATCTGCACTAGAAAGCAGGAGGTCGTGGGTTCGAGTCCCACCCGAGTGATTTTTTCCAACTTTCACTCCGGAGGTAACACACTGAGTATACAGTGTTTAAATGTCGGTGCAGGGCAAAACCTAATTTGAATTAAACCTACATGTAAAGTGCCATACTGCGTGCACCAGTACCCCACAATGGTGAGAAAAGGAGAGCTGTGAGAGACTACTGGGAGTGACATTCAAATGCATTGCTGACGACGCCTGACACTCACGAAAAGACGCTATGGCTTTGTGCACAGTATTAAGAATAAAATTAGTCATAATGCTTTGCGCGATACTCGCATGAACCAGTACGCACATATGGCGTGTCCTGTCCAATGGGCTCTCAAAAGCGGTCAAAAAGCACCCTCTGTTTCGCGCAAGGAGCCCATGGGCCATGCACAAGTACCCCCTCAACGATAATAAAGGGAGAGCTACAAGAGACCACTTTCACTTTCGAATGCATTGTTGACGACGCCTGATGCTCACGCAAAGACGCTCTTCTGCACATTCAGAAAAAAATGAGTCGTGTGTATTTCGCGCTCAGTCTACGCGCGCAAACCAGTACGCTCACTCAAAAGTGGTAAAAAAGTGCCCTCTCTTTTACGCGCACGGAGCCCATTAGCTAAAGGAGGTGGTTCTGAAAAGAATCACTGGGTGTTAACTCATTTCAGACTGGCATTCGAAAGTGGCACCAAACCCAATATATATATTTTGAGCAACTAATTTCCACCCAAATAGAATTTGGTTTCAAACAGGTGAACTTGATGTACCGGTACCCATTTTCAATGAACTGGACTCTTGGGTCGTTTTGAACGACTGCAACATCTTTCGCCCTAGTAAAGCAGTACAGGACAGAAATTTCCAAAGGTGCCCTCTTTCCTGATTTTTGGAAGAATTCAAATTTATTAATGATTCTTTTAAGATATTACATTAATTTTAAGGTAAACCCTAACTTTGGCCTAAAAAAAGTTAGATATTTGCCAAAGACATTCATCTGGGGACCAGTTTCAAGGAGCCGTTCTGCGCAAAAATTGTCACGCATGAAAACTATATAATACATTTTTGTTACCAGTCAAAATGTAATTTGATTTTCTTGACTTAGCAGTTTTTTTCCCTGTTCAGCAACTCTATGTAACTAAGCCCAATGAGAACTTACCAGCTTGCTTCTCTTGTGGCTTCTTCCTTCCGCCTCCCGGCTGAACCGCTCCGCCATTATTGGTACTCCTGTTACTACTCGTACTACTATTTCCTCCTCCCCGCGACCTTTGGGCCTTTGACCTACGACCCGACAGTCTCCTCTCCATGACGGGAGGCTGGACAATGTCTCTCCACTCGTCCCGTTGAAGTCCAAGCTCCCCGGCAATCAGGCAGCTGCTCAAGGGTCTCTGAGGATGCAAGACGTTGGAGTTGCCTTCTGAGGAAGGGCTCAGGTCCATTGCACTGGAAGATGGGGAGGGTGGAAGGATGTCCGTGATCGCATCCCGGAGCCAGCGCCTGGTGAACACCTCTCGGAAAGTCGAGGCAGGCACGGGGATCTCCTCCAGCTCACCGTCTGATGTCAGGTACTGGAGGGTCAGCGTGACGGAGTTTGGGTTGTTGTTTGCGGCCGGGGACTGGGAGGAGGGAGAGTTGGGCTTGATGTAGAGGTAGTAGTCGCCCTGACGGAGGTACTCGCGGTCCACCTCGCACAGATGCACTACCACATTGCCGTGGTGACACAGGGGCCAGCCGTCATCCCTTGGCTTGTGCTTCAATTGTAGCTGTGGGGAAAGAACGGAAATATTAGCTTATTTAGGGAAACAGTTAGCACAGCCTTACGGTAGATGTGTTCAGCCATTACATCTGCACAAAGCTGCAAAGTGCACAGACACTTGTTGAGCTTGGAAATTAAATAGGTTGATAATGACATCATATATTGTGCACCGTTGTGAGGCCAATTCTCATCTGAACTGTGCCAAGCAAATAAACAGCAAGGTAATATTTGCTCTGGGCTGTGCCAACAATCACCAATGCTATGAAATACGCCACGAGAGCATGGCAATGAGTGTACACTGTCACACAATTTATGTACACTGTTGCACATCTGTCAATGTTACACAAAATTGGTCAACATTTTGTTCAAAGCATCTCCTGACATCCTCGCAACATTATACACTGTACTGTGAGTCCAAATAAACAATTTACTTTTGTCTTATCAAATTCTCCCGCATGTGACATTAAATACTTACCAGTAGGCCGACACATTAGAAAATTATGCAAAGTGATTGTACTTTGAAACAATGATACGTTTTCTACATGTACATACATGTAACCCCTGAGGACCGACACACAAAGGGAGAACAACAGATCCTTTCAGTCCTTGGGCGTTGGGTCTTTTGTTCAAAACGGTCCTCTGTAGTAGGTCTGTGTGCTTAGTCTATGAGAGAGTGTTATATTACAGGGACAACAAAAAACATTGTCCTCGGGAGTATAGTAAAACAAGAGTGTCTGCACATGTACATTTGTACGTGTAAGTTTTTTCTGCGACAGATTTCTGGTCCATGTTACACATAAATTGTGTTATCGCAAGCACACTGCGCTAGACACATGAGATCCCCTATTCTGAAAATGTAAGCGGACACATGAGTTGGTGTTTCACTTTTGGGTCAAAAATCACTCACAGTTTTGGGGTCACAACTTTGGGGTCACCATTTGAGAGCAGTACTGGGTTACAATTTAAAGACTGCATGTTTGATTTGCAATTCAAAATGTACATGTACTCAAATGGGTCTTTTTTTGGTTAAGAGAGAAAAAGTTTGAAGAGTACCAGTGCATTCTGTGCATGTGCATGCTTAAATTTCAAGTAAGAATTTGCTTGGCTTAATAACCAGTCACTAGAATTGAAAAGATTTGAGTCCTGGGGCAGATTTCACAAACTCTAAGAGACGGGTCTTAGGAACGGTTACTTGTCTTAACTCACGAGCTGTCCTAGGATCGATTTAAGTCGCATTCACCACGTCCTAACTTCCTTAGCAACGCGGCTGAACTCATCTTAACTTAAGATCAGTCTTCAGGTCATCTTATCTCGTTAATGCTTGCGTTAATTTGTATGTTGTCTGGAAATCATTGCCGTTAAAGACGAGTGTCGGCCTAGAGAGTTATAGTTTCGAGAAATAAACTTGCTATAGAAACAGATCTGAAAAGATTTCCGATACCTGGGTAGTTATAAAAATAGCTTATTTACACAATTTAATTAATACATGCCAACACCTAGTCGACTTTTTAAAGTAGAGTGATACAACGGGGAGCAAATATAAATCTTGTGTAGAACTACCTTGCGTATGAATTTATTGAGTAGAGTAACTTTTTTTCTCGCGAAAGTTCGAGTGAGAGGAAAAAAGAAAAATATCTCCCCCACCACCTGAAAATAAGGAACCCAGGCATTGTTCAATCAGGAAGTGGCAGACCACACGCCAGCCACCACTCCCTACAGGCGAAGCACTGTGCACTTTTTTTATTTATTAAATAAAGATACGCTACAATAAATTCAACTTTTAAAGAAGAAAAAAAAATCTTAATTCCATCAATCATCAGCTGAAATCCCTGAAAATCCTTTTCAAGCGATTCTCGTCGGATGGCCAAACAACGACAATACAAGTTGAAGTCCTCAGCACAAATGAACGGTAAATCACGTTGAAAAAAAAAAATACAAAATGCGCAACGTTATTGTACTGTTCCTCCATTGCCATAAGCGAGAAATTGAGACGGAGAGAACACAATGATGGTTTGGGGGAATAAAATAGTGAGGGAGTTAAAAGAGTTCATGTAGGGTGATGTCATTGGGCTGGGCTAAGCCCATAGTGCAGTTACCCTTCATAACAATTTTGTTTTCCCCCCTTTCGACCAGTGTCTGAGGAAAAGTTGTTAAAAAGCCACAGGAAGTCCAAAAAACCGCATCAAATACAGTTATTGTGATTTCAGGGGTTTGTTTCCAAAGTTGCACTTTATTGACAGCTTAGAGGTTCATATGTGTAAGGTTTTCATTCACCTGGACTTAACTTGATGCGAATGTGTTTCTGACTTTCTTCTCTTTGATCAACAATCCTATTTTACAATGTAGTTGTGGAACTTCCATGCATTGTAGTCAGTTTCCTTGGTATGGATGCTATGCTTTACAGGTATGCATATCTAGTCTTTCTGTAGCCTTTAAGCTTATCCAGGTTTTGGTTGGGTCTTGGACAAAATGGGGAATTTTTCTGAAAATAATGGAAGGTAGCCGGAAGTTTTTTTCAGTCTCCGGGCAGCTGCAAAATAAAACAAGTGGGGGGAGGGGGATGGGCTGGACGCCATTCAGATATTGGGAGCGCTGTTAAATGCAGACGATTTTGAACACTATCGCACTGACGCACAATAGGTGGCGCTATTCATGTCGGCATATTTGCAGACAGGCACATACAATGCCCATTGGGGAGGGTATGTACTTTTACTGCTCCGTAGTCTGAAGGTTCAATAGTCCGGAGTTTCACTAGTCCAAAGGTTCAATAGTCCGTAGGTTCGTAATGAACCCTTGGACTATAATCACACCAAATGTTCGGATTAACAAACCTTATTTCAGTTTCGGACTAATGAACCCTGGGTAAAGGAAATTTGTGTGTTCGGACTTTCAAACCTTTGGAATAATGAACTTCGGACTATCAAGTGGGACCCATTACTACTAGTAGCGGCTGTGAAATGCTGGTGCATTAAAAAAAAAAAGGCAGAAAGTTGCCCAATTACCCCACCATCCCCCCCCCTCCCCCACCCTCCTCTGGTACGCCACTGGCCTATAACCCCACAACTTTTTCCACAGAGCATGCGAAACTGCAACCCGAACAGAATGACATTACACGTGTAACATAGAACCACAACTTTCACATCTGCTGAAAGGGCAACGTGTAAAGCAGAGACGGGAAAAAAAAGGGCAATGACTGTCAGTGGCCAAGGTGTGAACTCCATAAAACAGTTGGCGGACCACAATCGAATTACTTTCTTTGCTTGAACCGCGAGTTGTAACACTGCGTGAGGTGAGTTTAGGCATCCTGAATTTTCAGCGAAATAAAGGAAAAATTGGTCGCATGGGGTATGGGATGTTCCAACCAGAGAAAGTTTTGTTTTTTAAACGATGAGTCAGATTTTCTGAATGGTGATATTCACAGCATAGCCCTTATGACCCACAGACAGTAAGTGGCACATGCTTTCTTAGTCAACAATACCTAAGTATACAGACATTCTATACGTCATATCATTTTGCACGCGTACTTAGTTTCGTACCAGGAAAAATATGCCATTGCCAACAGGCATTAAAGGTTGTTTTTGACATTAATGTATTTGTCGAGTGATGGAATAACAACCGCATTTGTCATTCATTCTCGGTTTCGTGACTTGTTGACATGAGAAATGAAAAATGACTTCCAGATGCAAATCTACTTATTTGTGAGACAAACAAATGCAATTCAACATTCAATCTACTACATGTACATATACAGGTACATGCACTCATTGCACTGGTACTTCGTGCTGGTTTTTTTGACAAGTACTAGCTCTCAATACCTGCAAAAAAAATTTAATTCCACTACCTGAGAAATTATCTTGAAAACTACATGTACCGGTATACAGCCAATTTTTTACCCTACATTTATTTCAGGTGATCAGGTCGGCAAATCCTTTCAGCATTAGTTCTTTGATTAAAAAAGGGTCCAGATCACAAACTCGTAACGTCTTTCCACAATGCATTCAAGTCGCCAGGTTTTGCAACCATGGAAGCGGTACTTTTGAACTCAGAGTTAAAGCCTCGACTTGAATTCAAGTTGATAATTTGCCTGTTTTTTGTTTGTTTTGTTTTTTAATTTGCCCGCTGTAACAGACTCAGGCGAGCACAACAAGAAGCCATAACTGAGGTGGCACCACACTCATACGTATGTTACATGCGTTCAAAGGAATATACATACAACATTTGCAAACATCAAAAAACAAAACTACCAAATGATTATGAAATACCGATTGTTCTTGACTGTGAACATATAGTCTCAAGCATCCTGTGAAATGAATCATGGCACCTGTCATTTTCAAGAAAAGTGGAATTTTTGTATCAATTTCCACAGATGGTCGGCCAACCATCGCTGGAAAAAAACCTGACTTTTTTTCAAATACTGCCCCCAATTTACCAAATTTAGTTAGTCCACATATTGTTTGCAATCGGTTGTACCTCCATGAACAGATGCAAGCCAGCTACCCTGGTTCCATGACCTGACAATTCCCCGACGTCTATAAATTGCTCCGCTACGTCTAAAGTAGGGTCAGGGAACCAGAATACAGGAACAGCATTTTTTTCTTTCTTGGTTTTTCTAGCATCTATGAACACAGATCAGTGTAACCAATATTTCCTATAGAATTAGTTAAGAAAATGCAACGCGAGTAACCGATTTTGTGCGTCTTGTTTATCATACATAACACATTTTTCTGGATGTCATCTTTGGTACTTAGGTAGGTCTAGGTCTACTCTGTCTACCATGGGGATAACAGTTATTAAACCTTTTCAGTAAGGTAATTACAGCCCAAAAAAACTCAAAAGTACATCAAAAATGTAATGTGAGTAACCATGGAATTGCCCAAATGGTGTATCCCTTTAAATTTGAATTGCATCTTAAATCATTGTTGGTCAAAAAAGCACTGAGTACATGTATGCATGTACAAACTGTACATGAGCTTTGTGCAACCTCAAGGCCTCTAATTATAGCCCCTG